GGTTAACCCAAGTCTTTCCTTACCTAGTCGTTAACCGAATATATAATACCCAATTAATTTCCTAGCTATTGAACAACCTACTAAGCGTTAGATAGATTTAATCCAATAATATCATTAAGATGAGAAAGAGAGGTGAACCTACGCTACCTTCGTAAGTGATAGAGAAGATGTAACCTAGTTCTATATTTTTCAAGAAATGGAATGAAAACATCATATAATCATCAACCCCTAATTACTACTATAGGCAAATTTAGACAAGCAATTACATGGATTTGAATACTTAACTAACAATAAGTAATATGACTAAACAACTAACGTGTACTCTAATTAATTTAATCATACAACTATGAATCAATTATGCATAAAAATATAAATTACCTAATAGAGATAAGTTTAGAAATAAAACCAATAATCTCATAGCGATTAACCAAAAGCTTCAACTTGATTCAACAAAAAATAGAGTTTATTTATTCATAATGTATTAAAGAGAGAATTTCTATTAATGGTGGTCGTAAAAAAGTTAGAAGAAGAGATAAATAATACCCTAGCTTTGTTATTTATACCTAAAACTATATTTATATCACGTATGTATCAATATCACATAGCCACATAACTTGCTACATAAAGTCACATGGTTTGTTGCTTGATATCACATGGTTTGAAACCTTGGAAAATAAGTGTTACATGGCTTGTTAGTTAAAGTACACGATCGTGTAACTTTATTTTTCATTTCGTGTAGATACTCTTCTCGCTTGTGCGATTTCTTCTACAAATCATGTTGAATTTCTTCCGCTCGTGTATACCTTCTTTACCTTAGAGATATGGACATGTGACTTTACACTACAAACCGTGTGTAAAGCCTACTACCTTTATGGTCCTCTTTTTTTTTTGAGTTTTGCTAGGTTCAATCACCCACATGATCATGTGGAATGCTTTCTCTGGTTGTGTGGAAATGGTTCTACCCCTGTGGCTTGTTGTGCTTGGGACTCGTATATGGTTTATTCCTTTAAGTCACATGACCGGTAGCTATTTTCTTTATTATTTCACACGACTGTATGACTCATCTAAGCATCTTTGGAGCTTTTATCTTTTTCTTTAGGTCTTAGGTTTCCTTAATCCAATTTATCATTTTTCCTATAAAACCCGAAACTATCATCCTATTCTTAAATAATATAATATAATACAATAAGGACTAGAAAGTAAATGTAATATAACATAAAAATCATGCTAATTATGCACTCATCACTTGAACTCCTCAAGCTTGAAATGCATTGACATATCACAACACTTTAAACTAGTTTCATATCTAATCGGTAATTGTACATAAAGCTCGAAATCACCCTTAAAGGGATAAAAGTATCGAAACCTACCCAAAGAGTCACTAAGATGACTAAAATATCATCGTAAATGTTTTAGAAATTACATTTTAATTCGGTGAGTAGGAAGTACTCATTGTAGTTATTTATGAAACTACCTCTAAATCATTATAAGGAACAACTCGTTATTATTTATCATGAGCCTATGTTTCTATTTTTTGTTTGTGCGTCCTCCATCGAGTAAACTAGCTTATGACCTCGTCAATTATTCAATGAAACTTTTTTCAAGCACATCCGATTGAACTACTAGATATCGACTTCTCTTTTTCTTCTTCATCTTCAATAAGTTTGGTTGGCTAGAAATAATGAGTTTTAAAGCTTGAAATCCATCACAAATGGTTCTTAGAATATGTAGGAACTCAATTTTGACCACTTATAAGGCATAATTTGGCTAAAAAAAAGAGATTACGAGAGGGATTTAAGTCGACAAAAATCACAATTGTGTTCTATTGTTTCAAGCCTCTTTTACCATCTCCGATCACTATTGCAAGTAAAAAAAGGTTGTTATAGTGGTGGCACGTAATTTTTATGGTCCGTTCGGATTGTTTGTGGTCGGATTTCATTGGTTACTTGAGAGAAAAGGAGAAACAATTACCGGGAGAGATAAAATTTGATTTTTTTAGTTTTTCTTTTATATTTTTAACTTTCTCATTTGACCCCCTTTAACCTTTTTTTTTTTTTCCTATTTATGCATAGCTTGAGTTGTGTATCTAGACATTCCCTTATCTAGGTTCATTCCTTGTAGGTGAAATTATCTTGTTTAGTTACAAATTTTTTTAATCCTTAAATCATATTAGTCTAAACTTGAAGTTAGAATTAAGCTTAATTAAACTAAAGTTGGATACTCTAGGTTTTATATTATTTTTCTCTTTTTTTATTTGTTTTCTTTTTACTCGTTTTCCTTTCTTATTTTTTACTCTCTAATTTCTTTTATCTACATTTTTTTTTCAATGCTCGATTATTTTCATCCAAAACTCATAAAATAAATAAAACTCGTGAAAAGGATTAGATTTTGAAAAATGAGATAAACAAAATAAAATCTCCAATTTTTTTGTACTTTTTATAATTTTTTAATGAAAATAGAGTAATGAAAGTTGGGTTATAATGATGTTAGCACTTACCATTACACTTTTAGCAATATTACAAGCAGCTATTAATTAATCCATATGGATATCTATTGTAAACCATATCTTACTAATATATGAAATAACCTACAAGGATTTAAATGAATTGACAACCTCTTTAGAAAAGAAATCAAGCAATGGTGGTGGATTTTGCATAGGTTTGGCATGATTTCGAAAAATATAAGCTAAAGTCCATTTATCTAAAGATATTTTTTTTAAATATAATAATGTATTGTTTTTGAGTGAAGTTAGAGTCCAATTCCATGTTTTTATTTCTCTTTTATTTCCATCTCAATTTGTAAGAATATTAATAGACCCCAAAATCAAATCTAAAAACATCTATATGAATGGAATGAAAAGGAAATAATCTAAAACGATATAAAGATAACATTACGAAATATGTATCTAAAATAAATCAACCATCATACTACCTTAACAATAAAAAAGTTTAAAAAACAAAAATATTTTTAGCACACGTTTTTTTTTTTTGTTTCTTTCTTTGAGAAAATACCACATCTAAGGTTTTTCAATATTGTGATTGATGTGTTAATGATGGCTTGAAAAATCATTATAATGTATATTTTTACTAAATTATTTATAATATATTGACTTAGATATTTGTTTATAACATAGTTTTGTTATTCGTCATGTTAACCACAATATCAAGTGCCAAAATATTGGTCAATTTTGTAAATCTTATGTATAGTATTTTGAATATTGAAAAGCAAGAAAATATTTGGTATTATTTGTAATTTTTGATTAGCCGATAAATCTCGGATAATTAATAACGATGAAGTAACTTTCTATAGGATTAAATGAGTAATGGTCCTATCATGATGGAGAGATTTCTCATAACTTTGTGTACTTACACAATAAGTGCTCGTTTTGGGGTTGAAGGATCCTCCGACGGACTAAGCTAGTCTATAGCGAGAAAAGATGCCTAAACATGCTATAGTATTTGTGTGTTCTTAATGAGAGATGATAAATAATACATTTATTAGTTAGAAAAGTAGAAAGTAAAACCCTTAACCTTTGGTCGATTGGGCCTTTATATGGTAAATGATTTTGAGTTAGTTACATGAAGAGAACAATAAAACAATATATTTACGTGTGACTAATATCTTTTGACATCCGTTTGAGGAACTAGAATCTTTTAACAATGACTCATATTTGACAACATTGAAATAGTTGGGATTGATAAAAATTTGATGGGGACAATCTAAAAATCTTGCTTTCATTTAATACATTTCTCATTTTTTTCTATCAAATGGGTGGAGATGCATCTTATTTGAGTTGGTTATCCGAGATGGATAACTTGAGACTATTTTTGTTCACGACGATCTCTAGAGGGTGTTTGAGATAAAATTTCTATTAAAGCCATAAAGTCTTATAGTGAAGCATATTATATGAATATATCAATTTTCATTATCTCCTTTTGTCTTCAAATTTTTGAAAATAAACACCGAAAACTTGTTTATTTTTGAACTTTTTTTTAACAAAGAGGAAAAGTAATAATTATGGTCACAATTTATGAAAATCACTTTGTTTGGTTTAAAAAGATTTTCAAAATCAATTGCCATTCTTTGTTTTTACAGCAAAAAAATAAAAATAAAATAGAAATGATATAAAATGATTCTTCAAATTTTCAAAAATCAATACATTTTTACAATTCATAAGACTAACAATTCTTAAAATTATTTTGTTGTTCTCGTTTATTTCACTATCCCATCTTTCAAAATATATTTTCAAACGTTCTAATATCTCATAACAAAGCAAAAGAAACGAATTTTTCCGGTATGACAAAGAAAAAACATTCAGAACTCAAGAGGAGAGAGAGAGAGAAAAAAAAAACCACTTTTTTGGATTAGACGCACCTAAAAAAAAAAAACCCGCACGTGCCGGACAAATGACCCGCGTGTGGCTGGCTCCCTGGATTCGGTTACCCAATTGCCGAAGGAACTCCCCATTTCCTTTTGAGGGTTTTTATTTACTTCACAATTTGAGAGAAGGTACCAACCTCTCTATCTAGCTCACTCCCTGCAGCTATCATTTCCTGCAATTAATTACTTCATCGGATTCGACGATCAGGTGATTTTAGCCTTTTCCAGCCTTTCATCGTCTCTACTTTTCATTCCCCTCTTTCTCGCGAAAAAAGTTTTCCCTAAAATTGAATTTTCCAGCAAATCGTCACTCATGAAGTTGAATTTGAATCTTTTTACAAGTTTCCTTCGGCCGAAAATTCAATTACTACATTTTTTGAGTTGTTTTGCCATGTCTTAATGTTTGTGTGCGGAGGAGGATTAGTTTTTAGTATTTTATTTTATAGATTCTGGTAATCTTTCGATCTTCACATAAATTAAAGTTTTCTTATTTTCTTTTTGTTTTCGAATTCTATAAAATAGTTTATAATAAATATTTTTTTTTGACAAAACCTATTGTATTTGTTTGATTAATTATAATATGTAGCTTTTTTTGAATTGATTTTTGCAGCTGAAATGAGATGGCGTCCTCACAATCTTCACAGAATGTGGAGTTGGAGGCGGCTAAGTTTTTACACAAACTCATTCAAGATTCTAAAGATGAGCCGGCAAAACTGGCTACAAAACTCTATGTGGTGGGTGTACCTTGCACTCTGAATATTTATTTTTTTGTTTTTTACTATGTTTGAACTCTGGTGGTAATTATGTGTATACTTATTATATGTGTGTGTTTCAGATATTGCAACACATGAAATCAAGCGGGAAGGAACATTCAATGCCGTATCAAGTAATATCGAGGTGAAACATTTTGGTTGCCTATGATTTTATTGTTGTTTTTAAAGATGCCGTGTTTCTTAGATATATGAAATCTGTTTATTTCAATAAGGAGAACTGCAGGAGACAACTTAGTCACTGTAGATGATTCTTGGATTGCTAGGCATTTATTCTTGTCTCGTCTTGGGTGGATTTATTAAACTATGTTAGTTGAGATGATAATTAACACTAATTGAGTTTATGAGAAGACTGAAGTTTTCTGTACTTTCTTTATATAATGAGATTACGTTGCCACATCTTCTTTAATTCTCGATTTAGGAATTGATGTCCATCTACTTGACTACTAATATGTATTTGGTTATTATAATTGCACTGGCATGACTATGGTCGAAAAGTTAGGAAATAAAATCTATTTGAGTTTTGACAGCTTGTTATGTCCCGGAGTTCCTCAGTTCAGAATGAACTTTAGTTTGAACCTTGCATTATCAACAGAAATGTGCTCCTGTGTTAAAAGATTAAACTTAAATGGAACAACGTTTGAAGCCCGGGGATGGTTTCCTTCATGAATATGTTGTTACTGGATAATCTGTACTCAAGTACCATATAGCATTAGGTTGCACAATTTGCCATTGGATCGCCAGACTATTTTATACGGTTTATTTTCTGTTTGTTCTCAAATCTTTCTCTGGTGTACCTGTTTTTACCTTTTTATGAATGTTATTTATTTATTTATTTATTTTACATCTGGAATTCCACCTGGCTGTTGGTTCTGTCATTGTCATAGTTGTTTCCAAAATTGCAACTCTTTAGTCGAGATACTTCTTTACTAATCTTTTTATGGTGGATTAGTTTCTCTGACACATGTTTTTCTTAAACTAAGGGCCATGGAGACTGTCATCAATCAACATGGTCTTGATATTGAAGCTTTGAGGTCATCACGGCTTCCTTTGACCAGTGGAACTCAAATAGGGGATTCTTCGACTGCACAATATGGAGGTAACATGATTTTGTTGAAATTGCTTCAATCCTATCCAGTGAATCTTTTTATTATATTTATTGTGTCAGTGCGTAGCATATTGTATTAATAATTAAGAAACTGGAACACCCTTATGCAGGATCTTCACAAGCAGTTGGAGTTGTGAAAGACTCTAAAGAAAGATTGGCTGAAAATGAGATATCCAAAATTGACCCCTTTGCTTCCAGCAGGCCCCCTGTGGGCCCAAGTAGCGCTGGCCATGATTACTATCAAGGATCTGGAACTCAAAGAAGCAGTCAGTCGTTTGATCATGAAAGTCCTTCTAGTTTGGACACTAGGTCTGCAAATTCACAATCCCAAGATAGAGGAGCAAATCAAAAGGATAGTAAAAAGGCTGCTGCTAAGAGGAAGAGGGGTGATTCATCTTTACACTCGGAAATGCATGGTGACAACCCCCAGCAACTTGATCCTCGCAATCCCATGGTTAATCCAAGGAAGGTGAAAATGAACAAGGTTGACTCAACGGGGGGTTATCCAGTTAGAGCTGGTGAAAACACCAATTTTAATAAGGTTCCTAGTAGCGGTCAGGTGGAAGTTTCGTCTTCTTATGTGTCTGCAGGACAACAGCAAGGGGGTCTCTTCCATCTGCACATGAAAGTCTCACTTCCAGGGGTATGTGGAATCAAAATAAAGCAGGGTTACCCCTTGAAAGATCTCAAGTTCCAAGGTTCTCTTCTAATGCTGTTTCTGGTAATACAACGACAGAAATTCCATTGCAGCAAATTCCACTGCAGCAGCCAGCAATTTCATCTCTTGGATCAAGTAAGGATTTATAATACACTATCAAATAAAAAGAATATGGTTGGATAGAAATCAAAATTTTGGTTTTTTATTTTTTGGTGGGAAAAGCAGGATTTGCTCCAATCTTAATTAGGTCCAATCTCGTGGAGCAAAAACTTAAAAGGGAATCGCATAGTTAGAGAACATATCACTGATGACATTTTTGTTCAGTTTTTTTTTTTTTGTTCTCTTCTGCAAGGAACATTAGGGAATGAATAATGTTTTTTTTGGCGTTCAAGCATTTCTCATGAAAGATGCTGAACATTTTATTTGACTCTTTGGTTAGTGATTAGTGATCTGATACTTGGTATTACTGATGTTTTAGGTGCATTTAGCAAGGTTCATGGAGGGATGTCTGTCACTTCATATCCATCAGGGCCCATGGGGGAGCTAGGATTTGCAGGTCCAGTGCAATACGGTGGTTCTGAACATCAGAAGCATGGATTGGCAAAGGGTGCTGTGGCTAGTTCTGCTGAGAAAACCTCAGAGGGCCATTTTTTTGCTGCTAACCGTGGGGATGACTTTCCCACTTCTCTTTCAACTGGAAAGATTTTAGAAAATGATGGAGGAAGTTCAAACATGTTTGCAGAGGCAAATAAAATTGTCCAGGTACTTCTGTTTTTTTCCTCCCATAAAACTAATATGGCTTTTCCTCTCTAGAAATAATGAAAGCTGGTTGTTGAATGGTAATCTAGCTCTGTTTTGGTTTTCATTTGCATTGTGATGTAGTCTATGCAATGTTAGATTGGTAAGTGTTAATTCATTTTCTGTCATGCAGTGGTCTAGTGTTTGATGTTTGCTATCTTAATTTTAGGATTATGAAATATGATGTCTCATCGTGCATAATTTCTGATCATGATTTTCCCATTTTCTGTTCTGAGTATGACACTCTGTTCTCTGATATGTTATTTATTAGGCCTCCTCTTCTTTTTATATGTTCCTTTTCATCACCAGGGTGGCAGGCAAACTAGTAATTCAGAATTGACAATGATTAGATCAACAGCTCCTAGAGATGTGGGAAAATCTCCTGTTTCCCAGGGTTCTGTCTCGTCTGGCGTGCCTTTTAATGAACAACAGCTGAGACAGCTAAGAGCTCAGTGCCTTGTCTTTTTAGCATTCAGGTGGATAGCACTACTCCCTGAGCATGTCCTTGTTCTTTAGTTGTGGATACATGCTGATAAACTCTTTCTTTTGCTCTGCTGGTTTTAATTGTTTTGCCCTCCTGTAATCTGTGTCGCAGAAATGGGTTGATGCCAAAGAAACTTCATCTGGATATAGCACTTGGAAATGTCGTTTCAAGAGATGGTAAGAACTCATGATTAAAGATGATCATGGGCAGTGCTACTTGGCCATGCCAGTGGACCTGGCTTAATTTGCTAGGGTTTGGACAAGGAATCTTGCTTGTTTATCCAAGTTTATGGCTGGCCTTGAATCGCAAAATTCGGTGAAGCCTGGCCTCCCTTGTGCTAGGAAAACATATGTAATATGTTGGCTCAACTTGTGTTTAGGACTGCTCTTGGGCTTTATAAGTAAGCGTGGGTGTGGCCAGGCTGTGGCCAAGGCATCATGCCTCTGTCCTGAGGTGAAAGCCTGGCTTAGACTGGGTCTCATGATCAGTTCCACTTGATCTATATGCTACATGTTTTCAATTGTTGTTCTTATTAGTATTATTATTATTTTTTGTTATTGTTATTCAGCAATTGTCTTTCGCGGTGAAAATCAGGTGGCGCTTTGGATGGTTCTCGCAAAGAGCTGACTGATCATAAAGGAAAGGCACAATCTTCTAATGAGCATATTCCTGAAGATTTAATGGCATGTGGAAGGTTGAATAATGCAAAGGAATCTGATAAAGTGCTTCCAGTTTCTGGGGGAAGAATCTTGGATGAAAACTTTCTCTCCAGAGAAGCTGATAAACTGAAAATGATGGAGGACAGAAGTGGTCCACCTTCTGACCCCTCGTTGCTTGCAGATGAAAGGAAATATCTACACTCCACTAGAAAAGGGGATGCTGATATACAAAGCCAGGAAGCGGTGGAATCACAGGCATTTTTAACCACTGCAATGCAGCAGCCTGATTCAGCAGGGGGTGGTTTACCCTTGAGTAACCCTGTGGACGGCATGGAGAATGCCTTTCTGCAAGTTGGAAAAACTAACCATGCATCTTCAGGAACATTCGTAAATAAGCAGGCAAATGCCGAGGCAGTTAGCTGGACTAGAATTGGTGGTCAATCCCTACCATTTGGCTCCGTTCAGCTTGGATTAGCTCCAGATAGAAAAGATAATGCTCCTAGTCAGTTTCACAATCTTGGCAACGGTAATTCTTCAGGTAACAAATCTGGTCATAATGTTTCCTATTACTTTTCGCTAAATGAGCATTGGGCTCCTAGATCAGATTGACAATGACCACCACATTGTGGCTCTAATGAAGGATGCAGTTGCAATTATAAACAGTTGTCTTAGCGGGGGATTTTGCTAATATCCCATGAACTGCTTTTGTGATTCTCATGCTGCTTGTGTCAATTGTTTTGTGCAGATGATTCAAAGCTATCTGAATTTCAAACAAGATATGCTCCAGATGGGTGCAAGGCTGTTCCAGTTGATGTTTCATTAAGAAATGATGTCTCTTTTACAACAGAACAAGATGATGAGGATAAGTCAGCTTCTACTGACTCACCACCTTCTCCAAAGTACACCATGTCAGAGAAATGGATTATGGATCAGCAGAGGAAGAAACTTTTGACTGAGCAAAATTGGCTTCTAAAACAGCAGAAAACAAAACAAAGAATTGCCATTTGTTTTGAGAAGTTAAAGGTTTGTTCAGAGATTCTCCTTAATTTCTCGGTGCTTTGTCTTCTTATTGTCATTACCAATGTTTGCACTCTCTTGCTCTGGGCTGGTTTTTGCTCACATACTTTGTTCCCGTCCTTTTATATTTACCGCACAGGAAACTGTTAGCTCATCTGAAGACATATCTGCAAAAACCAAAAGTGTGATAGAATTGAAAAAGCTTCAGCTCTTGGATCTTCAACGCCGTCTAAGGAGGTGATTGTTTTTCCCAAACTTTGCTATATGTTGTTAGCTTGTGTATGTTTTATCTTGATCTGCAGTCAGACCATGATGTTTGCCACTTGTCTGGTTGATTTAGCTGCTTTGTGTCGTTTTAGTTAATCTTTTCATTGACAACTTGATTTGTGTAAATTTGGGCAGTAATTTTCTCAATGATTTCTTTAAGACTATCACAAATGACATGGATCGTTTGAAATCATATAAGAAACATAAGCATGGTAGGAGGATCAAACAACTTGAAAAGTACGAGCAGAAAATGAAGGAAGAACGGCAAAAGAGGATACGTGAGAGGCAGAAGGAGTTCTTTGCTGATATAGAAGTTCACAAGTATGTTTTCTTGGGGTTGATTTAGAGCATTTGCCCCCCTCCCCTCCCCTTTTAATTTTTGAACTCTTTTTAAATGTGTTGTGTTGGATGCCTATCTTTTGTCTAATGGCTTGCATTAAAAAAATATCCTTCTTTTTTGCACTGCTTGTTATCCTTGATTTAGGGAAAGACTGGATGATGTGTTTAAGATTAAGAGAGAACGCTGGAAAGTTTTCAATAAATATGTCAGAGAGTACCATAAAAGGAAGGAGCGTATCCATCGGGAGAAGATTGACAGAATCCAGCGTGAGAAGATTAATTTATTGAAAATCAATGATGTTGAGGGGTATCTGCGAATGGTGCAGGTTAGATTTGGCTTTTCAGATTTCTGATGTGAGGCTGGTATCCTATGTTCACTCCTTTTTCTTATTGCACAGGATGCAAAATCAGACCGTGTTAAGCAACTACTGAAAGAGACGGAGAAGTATCTTCAAAAGCTGGGATCCAAGCTACAGGAAGCCAAGTCTATGGCAAGCCGATTTGAGAATGATATGGATGAATCACGACATGCTGCTGTTGTTGAGAAGAGTGAAACTGCTGTTGAGCATGAAGATGAAAGTGACCAGGCCAAGGCAAGCTGCTTGGCTATGCACCTTCTCAAGTTTATTGTGGTTTTTTTTGCCCATTCTATATTCTACATGTGCTTGCATATTTTTTCTTTCATTTAATTTTTGTTGATATGCTTTGCAGCATTACTTGGAAAGCAATGAGAAGTACTATTTGATGGCTCATAGGTATGAATGGTGCTTTTTAATCTTTTCATAATTTTTTTGACATTATTTGCTGCTTAAGATTGGAGCTTTATATTTGATTGATTTTTTATGGTAGTTGATTTTTTCCCCTTTCTTTTATTTTGATGTTTTTTTATATGAATTATGCATTAGGGTGCACTTCCTTTTTCACATTTGCTAAATAAATTTATCTTTTTATGAAAATAGAGTGGATTAAGTTTACCATTTGATATCATGTCTATCGGGGGCTCCAGGCAGCCTTTGTGCTTTATTCTTATTTGTATTTTGCTTACCTTAGTGTCATGATGTTCTTACTGTTGGAGCTACAAGGTTGTTTCTGACATTGAATTTCTTGCTAGGCTACTCCCCTGTCTCTCTCTCTCTCCCTCTTTTTTTTTTTTCCTTAAACTCAAATTCTATGTTATTTTACAGTATTTTACTTTGGACATTGTTTTGTGCAGTGTAAAAGAAAGCATTGGAGAACAACCAACTAGTCTCCTGGGTGGAAAATTAAGGGAGTGAGTAGAACCTATGTTGCTTAAATACTGAATGTATCAGTGATTATAAGATTATTGGGTGTAGTGATAAGAATCTTTTAGAATGTTTAATTGATCAGATTTTAATGATCATTCTTGTAGACTCAGATTAAGCTTTCTGCTGTCATTCTCCAGTTTTAGATTTCTTAAGTTGGTAGTTTTGATCTTCAGGTACCAGATGAATGGACTAAGGTGGTTGGTTTCACTATACAACAACCATTTGAATGGCATTCTTGCTGATGAAATGGGTCTTGGGAAAACTGTTCAGGTTCAACTTTTTTTTTTTTTTTTTGAATTATTGCAGTCTAACTCTAAATCCTTTCCTTTTTGACTAATGCTATACAAACACACACATCATCCAAAAATTTCATATGAAGTGTGTGGCAGCTACTTTTTCATGTTTGATCAACCAGTTATCACTTGCCACGTCAGTTTGTATTAAGTTTTTGTATGATTCTTTGTTTGTAGATCAGTTTCTTTCCTATTTAATGTCGTACTGTTTCCTAGTTGTATAAGCCAATAATCTAGTAATTCTTTTCTTTTGGTAGGTTATTTCTCTAATTTGCTACCTGATGGAAACAAAAAATGATAGAGGGCCCTTCTTGGTTGTTGTACCTTCTTCAGTTTTACCTGGCTGGGAGTCTGAAATCAGTTTCTGGGCACCTGGAATTCATAAAATTGTCTATTCTGGGCCTCCAGAGGAGAGGCGCAAGCTATTTAAGTAATAACAAATGGACACAAGAGACCTTCCATTTCTGTTTGCAGTCTCTATTATTCAATTGTAAAAGTAACTGCAACCGTTATTTTGTTTTTCAGGGAAAAGATTGTGCATCAGAAATTCAATGTCCTTCTGACAACATATGAATATCTGATGAACAAACACGATAGACCGAAACTGAGCAAGATATATTGGCACTATATAATAATTGATGAAGGCCATCGCATAAAGAATGCTTCTTGCAAATTGAATGCTGACTTGAAGCATTATCAGAGCTCTCACAGGTTGTTATTAACTGGAACACCACTACAGGTAACAAAATTTCCCACCTTTGTTCCGCTCTTTCTTGGATTGATTATTTATATTCTTCCTGTGCATTGGTTTAAAATATATGAAGCGTCTGCCCTTGTTACAGAATCATGCCTTGTACATTCCTCCTCCAATATTTTTCTGCATATTCGATCCCTAATTGAATTTTATTTTTCTTTTGTCAGAACAATCTTGAGGAATTGTGGGCACTACTCAACTTTTTGCTACCTAACATATTTAATTCTTCAGAGGATTTTTCTCAATGGTTCAACAAGCCATTTGAGAGTAATGGTGATAATTCAGCTGATGAAGTATGCCTTTTGACATGTTCTACTCTATTTTTGAGTTGTTTCGCTGGATTGTGTGCTTTTTTGATATTCTCTCAAATTTCTTATATGATCATCACTGACTGCGTGCATGTGTAGGCCTTACTTTCTGAGGAGGAAAATTTGTTGATCATAAACCGTCTCCACCAAGTTCTTCGACCATTTGTACTTCGGAGACTGAAACACAAGGTCCTTACATACACTGGCACACCTGAATGAGACATTTGGTTTTGGGATTTATTCTAATATCTTTGCTTGCATTCTCAAATTCTTTTGTTAGGTTGAGAACGAACTACCAGAAAAGATTGAGAGACTTGTTAGGTGTGAGGCTTCTGCATATCAGAAGCTTCTAATGAAGAGAGTGGAAGATAATCTTGGCTCAATTGGAAATTCAAAGGTCTCCTACATACATCTTCTTCCCTCATGTCTTGGATGGTTTTACTTCGTGAACAGTAACCGCTAAAAAAATTACCATTATTTAACTGTAGAAGACTTGTCTTTTGCAGGGTCGATCGGTGCACAACTCAGTTATGGAGCTTCGTAACATATGCAATCACCCATATCTGAGCCAGCTTCATGCAGATGAGGCATGCTTTTTTCCTGTTTATTTTGGCTTATTGAATCTTGAAATACTCAAGGAAGAAGGAAAATAAACTTTTGTTATGATGATTTCCGTCCATCTTTGTGAAACCTGTGCCTTTTTATTATTCTTTTTGGGAGCTGAACCTGCGTTAAAGATCTTATGTCTCCATTTTGATACCAGTTTGCTTATATGGAATTACCTTTTGTAGGTTGAGAATTTGATACCTAAGCATTTTCTGCCACCAATTATTAGACTCTGTGGAAAGCTTGAGATGCTAGATCGATTGCTACCCAAACTTAAAGCAACGGACCATCGGGTACGGATATCCTTGCATTTATTCTGCCACTTGATGTTTCCTAGAAGTTCATTTTGTTTCTTGAGTAAATTGAACTAGTGCCTGGCTGGATTATTACCATTTTGCTGTATGGGGTGAGCTTTTTCTCTAAAATGGTTAAGTTTTGAGTAAATATTAGGACATTCTATACTTTTCCTATGACCTCTTTCTTAATTTTGTTGAGATGCATGCTAAGCATCTCAATGTTGTTTTCTTCATAAATGAAAGTACTGTTGCTTTTCATGTACTTCTATTACCATGTACTTTAGTTTTGAATCTGGTAATATTCCAGTATTTTGAGGATTTGCCAGTTGCTGGATCCATACAGGTTCTTTTCTTTTCCACGATGACTAGGCTGCTTGATGTTATGGAGGAGTATCTCACCTGGAAACAGTATCGATACCTTCGCTTGGATGGTCATACTTCTGGAGGTGACCGTGGTTCGCTCATTGACCGTTTTAACAACCAAGATTCTCCATATTTTATTTTCTTGCTCAGGTGATCATTTTGTCATATATATTTGATATTTAGATCTTTCTGTGTCATCAACCAAATTTTCCCTGTTTTATGTATTTGGTGATTCATGTGTCATGCATACTTGATATTTAGATTCTCCTTTTGGTGTTTACAAGGCATGATAGTACAATAGTTATGTTAGGGTTAGAACATTGGAAGACATTGAGATAGAAGAGGGATAACTTTTTTCATTTTCAACGTCTAAATTAGACCAGGCATTGTTTGTCAAGCTTTTTATCTATTCAGGAGGCTGGAAATTGAAGATTGGCGTATTGCAATTGGGAGGAAGTTTGGTTTCTAGATGTTTAATAATTAGCATTATGTTTCCTTTTTTTGCCTCTTCTTAAAAGTGAGAGTAAACATGGAGGTGGGATATTGGAGGAGGGAATCTATGTTTATTGTAACCAATTGGTACATGTGTACATGATTGTAGTTTCTTTTTTGTCTTGGTAATGGTCTTTGTGCAAATCACACCGTTGATTGGCTGGTTATTAAACTAGATGGCATTCTAGTGGAGCGTGTGCAGTTCATTGTTTCACTTGTATTACTATGATTGCGTTAATAGTAAACAACATTAGATCTCAAAAACCTTTTGATATGCTCTGGCATGTGAAATACAAGTGTGTTTTTACTTATGTTTAATTAATTTCCATAAGCCTGACATTTTAATATGTGGATTTAGCATTCGGGCTGGTGGTGTTGGAGTGAACCTTCAAGCTGCAGATACTGTGATCATATTTGACACTGATTGGAATCCTCAGGTCATAAATGAAGTTACAACACCTTGATTTGTTCTTTATTTGGGTTACTGATTCTAAAGCTGGTCTAGTTTATGTTGTTTCATTATCAGGTTGATCTTCAAGCTCAAGCAAGGGCTCATAGGATTGGCCAGAAAAGGGACGTGCTCGTTCTTCGATTTGAAACAGTAATTTCTCCCTTTTCTCTTGTTGTCTTTTCAGACTAGTGCATATCTAATTTCTGATTTTGGAAGCATGAACATTCAAGATTTATATTTGATTCTGATTTCTAATGAATTAATGTTAAACTGGAGAGGCTGGGTGCATGGCACCATGAGACTTGAAAATGATCAGTACCAATATAGTTTCCTTCACCATGGCAGCTGAGGGTTCGGACTGATCTCTTAAATGCCTTTTCTTTCTTCTTTTGCTGGAATGCATTAGATGACAAATATTACTTTTAACTTGCCCTGGGAAGACATAAAAAAACAAAAAGGAATCATAGAGTTGAACTACTTAAGTAATGAATCTCTACTCTTCCCTCACTATTTTTGTTTGCTATTTGATTTCAAAGAAGATTCTCCCTCCTTCAACCTTTGGCCTTGTTGACTGTTAGTTTAGCTTTCTCAGGGGGCAGGCCGTGCTGTATTTTTCTTTTAGAATGCTTTTGGTGGTACCCTTCACTTTCCCCTTTCTTTCTTTTTTTTTTTTGTTTTGTTTTGTTTGAAGTTTGGGATGCTATCATTCCTTCAGAGCAGTGTCTGCATGCCGATGCTCTGGAGCAGAATGAGCATTCATATATGGAGCTTCGTGTTTCTTGTTAGAGTTTTTGTGGTGCTTCCATTTATGCATTGTCAACATCTAAATTATTGTTGATCAAAGGCCTGATGTGGATTCCCAGACAAGCATAGGCTGTAAATTTTGGTAATACACTGTTCTTGTCTTTCCTTTTAGGGTTTTCTAAAGGGAATAACCTGGGATAATTTCTGAATGATTTTTCATTAATTGGAGAACTAAACTCATTAGATTGAGAGGGATATGAAATAGCGATTCTACGGTAGTGATACAACACAGACACTCAAGTGGAATAATCAAATGAAAGAATATCAAATACATAGCAGAAGGGCAATCTGATAGGATCCTTTATTGAAATAAGAAACATTAACAGCAATTCGAGAGGCTGTATCTCTACCTGACAGTTCTGTCACTCAAGTTACATAAAATTCCTCATGCCTTTCTCTATTCAGTTCAGGCTATATATATTCTTTCCGCCCATTCTTTTACAACCAACCCTTTCTAGAACCTGACAGAATGTTAACAATTCATTCCATTTCAAAATTGACTCCATGAAACTAATCATAACTTGGAATAACTAGAACAAACAAAGAAATATAAATGTGCCACCCATCTCTGCCCTCCATCCAGAGATGTAACGGGTGCAATATAAGCCCAGTAGCTGCTGCCCAACTTCCTTATCTTTCAGCTGCACCCCACCTCTTTCCGCCTTTGATCCTCTTTTCCCTTTTCTCTTGTAGACCAATCTGATCGCAGGCCTATCAGGTAGTTCATCGTTTATTTGCAATTTATTCCTTTGTGATTTTGGGTTTGAAAGTTAGAGAACCAAAGGAAAAAAATCGAGAGGAAAATAAAATAGTGAATGCTAGGAATACCTAAGTTTTGCTGTTTTGAACCCTGTATCGTAAAGTTCCCTAAGGCTGTGAAAGGTGATGTATGTTTTTCAATCTGTATTTTTTAATTTATTTTCAACTATTTTAATTGTCATAAGGTCCAAACTGTTGAAGAGCAAGTCAGAGCTTCAGCTGAGCATAAACTGGGAGTTGCTAATCAGAGCATTACTGCTGGTTTCTTTGACAATAATACAAGGTTAATGGGACTATTTGCTTAACTGCTTGCTCCTTAAAATTATTCCTAAGGGTTTTTACTAATGCTCCAGGGGAAATTTCTCTGTCTTTTTTACAGTGCAGAAGATCGAAGGGAATACTTGGAGTCCCTCCTGCGGGAATGCAAGAAAGAGGAGGCTGCCCCTGTTTTAGATGATGATGCTCTAAATGATATCTTAGCACGCAGGTAAATCTTTTTCACGGGTTGTTGTATTTATCAGCCAGCATTCCATTTTCTTGTGACTGGTTCCCGCATAATATGGTATGGTTTACAAGATGCTGCTCATTTGATTTTATAATTTATATAGAACTTGTTCACATGGTTGAAAAATACGTTTCAGTTGGCTTTGCAGGAAATTGTCTGCAAATGATATATATGCTTCAGTGTAAACAAACTATTTCTGAACTCACTCATTTATTTTTGTCCGTGATTGAATAAATTAAGATTTCCATAAAACAAGTAAACGATCCATGATAGACTCAAATGTGTTTTCCTATAACTACTGCTCATTGTCTCTGATCAAATGGAGAGGCCTCTGACATCAGTTCTTTTTGCATCTTCATGGTGTTTTGCTTTTGGGGTTTCTGAATTGTTTCTATAGCTGATCCCCAGTGGATTTGTGATGCCTTTTTATTCTTATTATCAGCAAATCAGATGTATCCTCTGGTTTCCTAAGCAATACATTATATTGGCTAGGAAGAAAGGTGAGTCATTGTGAAGTGAGGATAATTCACTCTCAAAAAGTGTGGGTACTCATCTAGATAAGCGCAGCTTTCTGGATAACATTTCAACTTAAATGAGAGGAGGAATTTTACCTCAGTGACAATTTCTGACCATTCTGCTTCTCTTTGAGGCCATGTTCAATCACCAGTCGCTATCTTAGCAGTCCTTTTGGCAGGGCCAATAATTGTTTGGATTTGAAATTTGAATATCATGGAATCATGAAATTCCTCTGTTGATGTCCCTTTCTGTCCTAGTTTACCTCGAGAAGCAATGTTTACATTATCTGTGCTATCAATTACATTGCCTTTCTGTTGAATTATATTGTCAATTATTTATTTATTTTTTTAATCATATTTGTTAAAACTTTTACTGGCAGTGAATCAGAGATCGATGTATTTGAATCAGTTGACAAACAAAGGCAGGAAAAAGAGATGGTATGGCTAAATATGCCTGCATTCGTTGCTTAACTGCTCTTGTTCATCGACTAAGTAAAGCCTCTAATTCTGCAGGCAACATGGAAGAGCTTGTTATTGGGACAAGGGATGGATGCTTTGGAACCTCTACCTCCTCTGCCTTCACGCCTTGTAACAGATGATGACTTGCAAGCACTCTATGAAGCGATGAAAGTGTATGATATGCCAAAGGCTGGGGTGGACTCCAATGCTGGGGCAAAGCGGAAGGGGCAGTATCTTGGGGGCCTTGATACTCAACAGTATGGAAGGGGCAAACGAGCAAGAGAGGTTTGTTGCTTATATCTGACTCTTATAGTCAGTGCATGTGCCATTTAACGTGTGAACATGTTATGCCTTCAGTATCCATTTCTCTTAATTTTGATCTTTCACTTTGTTAGGTACGCTCTTATGAAGAGCAATGGACAGAAGAGGAATTTGAGAAGTTGTGTCAGGCTGAATCTCCTGACTCTCCTAAGGTGAAAGAAGAAATAGGAGAGAAGAACTTGCCAAAAGATGCTAGTGGTTCTTTATTGGCTATTGGTAGTACAGAACCTCAAGCTCCACCACAACTGCTGCAGCCGCTGCCACCTCCACCAGCACCGCCACTGCCACCGCCACCGCCACCGCCACCGCCACTGCCACTGCCTGTGGAACCTCTCCCACAGCAGCAGATTAAAGAAGTAACTCTGCCTTCAAAAAGAGGGCGTGGAAGACCGAGAAGAGCAACTTCAGATAAATCTCCAGCTGCAATGGTACTTTCAGTACCTTCTGGAACTGGCAAAGTGGATGTGGAGTTACAGAAAGGAATTGAGTCTAGCTCCTCAAAAACCTCTGGTCCTGATTCTTCTCCTGTTCCTAATTTAGGAGGTAATAGTGGAGCTACACCTCATTCAGGATTGGGGATTGCTCCTAGTGCTCAGCCAACCACTCCAGTTTCACAAACCGCTACTGCTTCCCTTTCCGTGCCATTGCAATCAAGAGGTCGAGGTCGGAAGGTTCAGGGTGGAGTTCAAACACCACGGCGCAGAGGAAAGAGTCAGGTGATTGTTTCATCTGCTCCTGCAAGTTCAGCTGTTCCCGAGGCAAATATAAATGATCAACAACAGAATGTATCTGTCAATCCTTCAGTAATTGCCATGGGTGGAACTGTTTCCAGTGCTCCCATGTTACAGCATCCTAGTACTTTACCTGGTTCTGCTGCTGTGGAGAGTATTAGTGCAACCACTCATCATTCTGGGCCTGGGACTGCTTTGGATTCTCAACCAGACCCTCCCAACCCTTCTATCTCCACTACCATTCAATCCATAGCTCCCAGTCCTTCAGTTCCTATGCAAGTTAAAGGGCAAAACCGGAAGACTCAAAATGGCACTGGAACAACTCGACGCAGAGGAAGGAAAGAGGTGCCAGTATCACCCTCTGTTCCAGATGTTTCAGACGGTCAGCTTTCAAAATCTAATCCATCAGGAAGTAAAGCTATTAGCATGACGAGTAACCAACAAAATGATGCTCTAGAAAGTGATGCTAACAAGGAGCAAGCTTCTAGAGAAGCTGATCAGGATCAAAAATCAACTGAGCATCTGGATGATTTAGCCCAGCATAGGCAACCAGCCAGCTCTCTGACAATGCATGATGGTATTACCAGATCTATGGGTAAGATTTATAAATATCCAAATGGAATTGATATTGATGCAATGGAAACAATTGATAATATCTTGCATACTGAAATTGAAGAACTCAAAGCTTGTGCAGGCTCTTCTGGACTAATACATGGTGCTGGTATGCATGATGTAGCTTCTGTGACAAAGGAGGTTTCGGAAGAGAATGGCTCTTCAAAAACTAAAGTTCATGAAGTTTCCGGGAGTGAAAGTGGAGTTAACCTGTCTACACCTCAATTGTGTAAACCCTTTGTAGAGGTGGTCCAGAATCAAAGTTCAGAGGATAAACCTTCCCCAGTGGTTTGTCCTCCAACTGAGTCATTACTTGGCTCTGCCACTGTAGACGGTGTTGGCAAAACTGTGCATCAGCTTAGTCCAGAGATTGCTTCTAGCCCTCAGCCAATTTCATCTTATCCTTCTGTTAGCTTGATCTTTTCATCCAACACTCCTGAAGCCATGCAAGTTAAAAGGCAAGGTCGTAAAGCTCCTACCAGAGGGGAAGCACCTAGGCGAAGAGGAAAGAAACAGGTTTCAGTTTCACCTGCTGTGGATGCTTCAATTGGTCAGGATCTCATTATAAATCCTCAAATGCAAAATAAGTCCAGAGATTCATTTGGGAGCAAGGCCATATCCTTGAGGAGTGGGCAAGGAAATGATTTCAAGGAGTTGAAGAATGTTGTTCAGGTATTTTGTAATTTGGTTACTTGGTAAAATACAATATAATTATTTGCTATCATAGTAATTTATAATTGTATTCTTATCATATTAATTTAGTTCATGCAGTTGAATATATTTATTTAGTAATTTATTATTGTATTCCTATCATATTGATTTAGTTAATACAATTGATTATATTTATTTCCCATTATATTGTGTCCTAAGTATATTTATGCTAAACCTCTTCTTTTGGATTAGTTGGATTACATCTACTCTTTAACACTAAATAAGTTTTTATATTTTGTCTACTTACTGTTGTGGTATTCAGTATTTTTTGTTTGTTCTTGCTTTCACTTTTTACTTCTAGGAAGCGCATGTTCCCAGTGGTTTAGTTGGTCAAGATCCAAAAAGGAAAGAAGCTAGTGGGATTCCGGCCTTTGGCCGAATTCAGACAGCTGATGTAACTGATGTTGCTCGTGTGATGAAGGAGATATTTTCTGAGACTTGCTCTTCAAAAGCTAAAAGTGGTGACTCTTCTACAGTTGAAGTTAGAAGTGCCCCTGTATCAAGTAATATGTCTGTGGAGGTGGCAAAAAACCAAAGCTCAGAGGGTAAAACACTTTCAGCTGTGTCAGTCTTAGAAGCAGAAGCTCCTGTTATCGGGAGTTCAATTGATGATTCTAAACAGCCTGTTTCTGGAGATGGTGTCAAGATGGAAGGGGATAATGCTCCTGCTTTGGGTAAGGCTCCTATTTCTGAAATTGATGCCTCTATGCTTGAAAGCAAGACCAGTCATGGCTCCACTGAAAAAATGGGAGAGTTGATATATTCTTCCATTGAAAACCCAACCACAGGAAGTAATATGGAGGGCAATTGTTCAGTTCTTGACACTGATGATGGGGACAATATTCGCTCTCAGACACCTGCTCCTGAATGTCTTCTTGGTGATGGTGGCAATCCTCCCATGGTCGCCCTATCTGTTTCAGATGTAACAGAACATCCTGCGACCGACTCTGGAAACACAATGGAGGCTTCAAAAGCATCTCCTAGGTCTTCTCCACTTGTTACCCTCGGCAATCCTACTGTTTCCGTGAAACTTGATGATATTGATTATCATTCCAGAGGGACAGTTATTCCTGTTGCTGATCATTCAGATGCAAGAAATGTCCTTAGTTTAGTTGACAGTGTATCTAGAAGCAGTGAAAAACCTTCTCCAAAAGAGTCCGTAGAATCTTCTCTTGAAATCAGAGATGATGAGGCTCGAACTCTAATTCAATCGGGGGTTGAGGTAAGCAAGGTTGAGGGTGAGGAGGTCTGCAATATGCAAATTGATCCTCCTGTATCAGAGGTGTGTTTTCTATTCTGTTGTTTTTCTTATCTTTTTTTTTGTTTTTTTTTGTTTTTTTTTCAAGACAGAGACTTCATCTGTTTATTTTTCTTATTATTGGATAAGATTATTTTTAAGGTAAATTTTCTTACCTGTAGTTTGGGGATGTCCGCTATACTTGGCAACGCTGCATGAGAACCCCAAACATTTGGGGTTTCTCTTTGTTCTCTTCTTAGGTGTTGGATTTTTTCAAACGCCGTTTGGGGTTTCTCTTTGTTTTCTTCTTAGGTGACTTGTTATTACATATGGTGGTTTTGCTTTGAATTTTTTTTTTATAAATAGATATTTGGCTACAAAATAAGCTACATTTTTGCCAAAACACTTGTCTGCTTAAAAGTTGAGTTTTGTATCATTTGGTTATATAGTTGTAACTCTATGTTTTACTTTCTTAACTTAAAATTGTGTAGCACTTAAAATCAAGTGAGAACTTCATCATTCCTTTATTTAAATAGATATCTGACTGCCTTGACCTTTTCTGCTGACTAGTTACCTTTATTTGTACCATGTGTAGTTCCGTTTTCTTTATGATGGTTTGTGATTAATTGGACTTACAGAATATTTAAGGGGGCCGATTGGTATTATATTGAAGTTTGTGTTTGCTTGAAGGCTAGGGATAGTTTTAGCCTATTCTTTAAATTTACTGTTAGTCATTCGCATGCAGACATTCGGTTTTAGCGAGGGCTATTGGGCTTTATTAATAATATAGGATCTACTAAGGGCTTTCTCGGGGGATGTGCAGGTGTAGGAGTGTTGCTTCTGTGTAGGTGATTAACAGCTTGCTTTATTGATGCATGATTTTTTTTCCATCTCATATCAAGTTCTGCATTGATTCAGTTGGTGACTATTAAAATGCTATTGCCAGGCCTCTTTGCTTAAAAATCTATCCTCTTCAAACAAGCAAGACCCAAACAGTTCTGCAGCCGGAGCCAGTCATCAAAAGGATGTTTCTCAGTTTGGTGGAATTGTGCTGCAAAATATTTCAGAAAATTCTGTTCCAGTGAGAGAAGAAGGAAGTACTGATGGCTCATGGAAGAATGGTCTTGCTGGAAGCTCAGTGGTAGTGGAGGAACGACACAAATCTGAAGCAGAAGCCTCGCTCATTGGTGCGGTTGTGCCAAAAGATTCGTTGGAAAACATGGTTCTACCTTCATCTCCACTGGCGAGGGAGGAAGAAAAGCACTGTAGATCATTTGAGCAGGATTTAGCTGGCAGCTCAACAGAACCAGAAACATCAAATGGGTCTGAAGCACAAATGACCAGTAAAATGGATGTATCCAATGCGGATATTATTGTTCCAAAAATTACCCCAGAACACATTGTTCTACCCCAATCTTCCTTGGAAGCTGAAGAAAACATCGAAGGTACTTTGGGGAATGATTTAGCTTCCCATTCAGTGGTGCCGGTGGAAGCAGAAGGATCTGAGGCAGAAAATGATGATCAGATGGGCATACAGAAGGTGTCTGAAAGTGTACCAGAAACCATGGATTCCCAACCATCTTCTCTGTTAATAGAGGAAGATCAGGTCAAGGGCTCATCTGAGAAGGGTGCACTTTGTCACTCAGGAATACTACAAAAATCGGGAGGGTCAGAAGCTGAAGCAGGTGAGCAGCTAGATGCATCTCATGCTGATACTTTGGTAACAGAAAATGTATCAGAGAGTATGGTTTCACCAAGATCTTCCTTGGCGTCAGTGGCACCAAGGGTTGAGGGCTCATCTGAGAAGGATATATTTGGCAGCTCAGTAGTACTAGAGACATCTAAAGGGTCTGCAACTAATAAGGAGGATCAAGTAAATCCTTCTCGGGTAGACGGAATTGTGCCTGAAACTAACACTGGCCTGCCTTTATCTTTTATAGGGACGCAGGAATCTGACATTGCGAGCTCATCCAAGAACCACCAAGATGACAGCTCCGTAGCTGAGAAATCGAAAACATCTGCTATTGAAGAGGACAGTCAAGTGATAGTATCTGATATTGCTGGAATTGTGGCTGAAACTTCTGTGGCAAACAGTGGTGTGTCATCTTCCTCAGAAACGGAGGTAGAAGATGATAATTTCTTGTCTGAGAAAAGTTCTGGTGGTGTCTTGCTGGCTCTAGAGGAACCAAAACAGTCTGAAACTGAAATTAGCAACCAAATGGTTCTATCTGACCTTCCTATGACTGGGCCTGAAGATTCTTTGGAGAACACGTGCCAGCCTTCGTGTTCTCTAGTAATGGAGGATGAGGTTGAGGGCTCGTCTGAGAAGAGTCCTTGTGGCATCTCAGTAGCAGTGGAGGAATCAAGAAATTCCAATAAGGTAAACGATGAATCTCTTGTTGGTAGCATGGGGTGTGAAGATAGTCGAATTGTCAGTACTAGGTCTGAACACACACAGGTTGCTGGTAGCATTGGACCAGAAGATACATCTAGAAACACAAACAAATCCTCATCTTCCTCGGGAATGCATGGAGATAAGATTGAGGACTCATCTCAGAATATTCCAGAGGTATCAAATAGGTCAGAAGCTGAAACAGATGATCGAACTCAGTGTGGTGAGATGGCTCTAGCAAACATGTCAGAAAAGATGGAGGGCTTATCATCTTCGGGGATGCAGGAAAACAAGATTGAGGGCTCATCATCTTCGGGGATGTGGGAAGACAAGATTGAGGGCTCATCATCTTCGGGGATGCAGGAAGACAAGCTTGAGACCTCTTCTCAGAATATTCCTGAGGAATCAAATAGGTCGGAAGCTAAAAGGGATGCTCAAACTCAGTGTGGTGGGATGGCGCTAGCGAACATGTCAGAAAAGAACGAGGGCTCATCTCAGAATATTCCAGATAGATTGGAAGCTGAAACGGATGATCAAACTCAGTGTGGTGGGATGGCTGTAGCAAACATGTCAGAAAAGATTGAGGGATCATCTCACAATATTCCAGATAGATTGGAAGCTGAAACGGATGGTCAAACTCAATGTGTTGGGATGGCTCTAGCGAACATGTCAGAAAAGATTGAGGGCTCATCTCAGAATATTCCAGAGGAATCAAATGGGTCGGAAGCTGAAACGGACGGTCAAACTCAGTATGGTGGGATGGCTCTAGCAAACATGTCAGAAAAGTTTGAGGGCTCATCTTCCTCGGGGATGCATGAAGATAAGAACGAGGGCTCATCTCAGAATATTCCAGAGGAATCAAAAAGGTCAGAAGCTGAAACTGAAACGGATGATCAAACTCATTGTGATGGGATGGCTCCAGCCAACATGTCAGAAAACTCAGCTCTGCCTTCATCTTCTCTCGTGGAGGAAAAGACTCCTGTCTTATCAGAGAGAGATGCAGCCGAATAGTATCAGTTAAAACAAAAGCCATCTGAAGTTGGTGAGTAAACTGTCATCGGGTTGAATCGCGCCAAGCAAGCACCATCAAGCTTGGCTTCATGTTCATGAGCATCAGCGGGAAGAAACGAGGGCCAATTTGAAAAAAAGGATCCAGTTGGGAGGGAGGTCAGTGGCAGATCTGTGGCTGTTTCAAGTATTTATGAACCCAGAATTTTTTTGTACAGCTGTACTCTAATTTTTATATAGCCTATATTTAAGCTCACTGTACGAGGGCTGTCTGATTGGCTGAATCAGGTATTGTATTGCCCTGTAAGAGAATCATGTAATCTAATTTATTAGTTTTTTCTTGTAGTCTCTTCATTCTCCTGAAACCTCATCAATTAAGGACGGGTACTTAGAAACTTATATTTAATTTAATCGTCTCAATTATGGTAAATATCGACAATAATTTAGCGGCTTATTTTTGGGATTGACATTTTAACGAGATTATTAAAAAAAAGAATAGCTGGTGCCTAAGACGCATGCTAAGAATTGATATCTCCAGTTAATCTCAGGCAATTGGTTCTTAATTATTATAGTTTTCACTAAAAGAAAAATATGATTATTTGCTGCTCTAAAGTTGGACACCAAGTAAAGGTGGACAAGTGCATCGTAGTCAAAGCCAAGAATATTGAGTTTGTCTCTGTTCATTAATTAGCTACAAAGACATCTTCTCATTGTGGCAACACAGATTTAAAGCAATGGTATAATTTCTGTACATAAAAAATTAAAAACCTTGCTGAAACTAAACTTGGCGAGCTACTTACTTGAGCTAAGGTAAATCTGTAACAATGTGTTCCACTTAAAGCTATCAAACTCTGATCAATCGAAAAAAGTTTTTTGCTGCGAACAAGTGAACTTGAAAAATAATATTGTGAAGGTCGAGAGCAATGTGGTTTCTATACATAATAGTCCTAAGATTCTTCAAAATATTATTGTTGCTTTGCATTATGTCGTGTGCGAACAATAGTACCATTTGTTGCAAGCAGCCATCAATTATCATTGTGTTAAAAGTACGGATAATATATATATATATATATATATATATATATATATTCCTTATCAATACCGGCATAGGCCCAACAATGAAACAGATGATTATCAAAAAACGGCCCTGAAAGCAACTTGAGTTTTGGAACTCCGGGATACTCCATATCCATGTAGTTTTGCGTTCTTTTTGTCCAGTTATAGGCTGGTGGAATACTAACAGGAAATTGCAACAGCCAGAGCAATTGACCGTGAGCAAGGACAGCCCTGCTCTTTTTTGCTTTGAAATTTGTCACAGTAAATCGACATGACTAAAGGAAAAAAATATGCCAAAAATCTGAGTGGCATGTTATTATAATAACTTACAAAGAGGAATGCTAGGTAATAATAGTCTCCTTGAACAGTTGCCGCCAGCAAGTTTAGCTCATTAAAATTGTACCTTTTCTTTCCTTTTCTTGTTATTTATTTATTTTGATAAGGCAACACTGAGTACTTGATTAAACTCTTAAAACATTTTGGACTACAACTAAAAAATAAGTTCATATTAGGTCGTCATGTGTGAATGATATAGATTTTAATTTAATTATGGAAGTAAATGATATTCTGGACGGCATATGTCTATTAGTACAAAACAGTTTAGTTTTGGCAAGTATCTCAGGTCTTAACTTTTGGCAAATATCTTAAGTCCTAACCATTAAAAAATTTAACGTTCCGAATTATTACAGGTTAGTGGGCATGAGAAGGGGGACACGAAATTCTGAAGTTTTATTTTTTATTTTTTTCCCATAAAAGACGCCTAGACTTCTGGGCTATATGTTTTATTTTTTATTATTCATTAAAAAAAAAACTCATTGGTTTCTGAGATATATAATGGAACTATTTTTTTTTCACTACACAATCACCAAAAAATTTTTTAAATTATTAGAACTCGAATCTTATTCTACTAGAAAAGTTAACGGGATAAACAATGATCTTTCGAAATAATTATAATATAAGTATATCAATTTTTAACTTTTTCTCAATCAAATATATAAATTTTATTTATTTATTTTTGAGTACATCAATTTTTTTAAAATTGTTAATCAAGTATTTTCATTAATTTTTTCGTTAAGCGATAACGTGTTTATTATTTTCAAAATATCAAATTACAATTTTGCCTTTTTTCCTCAATGAAGTACATGAATTTTAATTTTTTTAGATTGAGTACATCATTTTTTTCAAAATTATCAATCAAGTACTCTTGTCAATTTTTTTTTTATTAATTGATGATGTATCCGAATATCAAGTTATATATATATATATATTTTCATCTTTTGTTGTAAGAAACTTTCTCCTTAAATTATTCTATTGTATAAAATTTGACAAAGAATTAAAAAAAAAATATATTTGGTTATAAAATCTTGAACTAAACTTAGTAAGCCTTATCATTAAAAAAAAAAAAAACAAATTCAGTTAAGGTTTTGGATGTGAAAATTGAAGAAAATACAAACGTAAGATTTTTTATCAAGAAGATTCACTTGTGATTTTCTTCACTTTTCACTTTTAAACCTAAGTGAATTCTTTTTTTTTTTTCAACGAGCAAACTACTTGAGTTTATTTTGGAATTTTAGAGATAAAAATAATTTTTTTAATTATTTATCAAATTATAAAATAGTAAAATAATTTGAGAAAAAAATTTCTTTCAATAAAAAGAGGGTAAAATTATAATTTTATATTTAAATATGTCATCAATTAATGAAGAAAGTGATAGAAATACTTGATTGATATTTTTGAAAAACTTGATGTACTAAAAAAAAAATTAAAGTTTATGTACTTGATTTTTAAAAAATAAAATAAAATTATAATTTGGTATTTTGAGGGTACGAACATGTAATCGATTAACAAAAAAATTGATAGAAGTAATTGATTAGTAATTTAAAAAACAAATTGATGTAATCAAACGAAAAAAATTAAAATTCATATACTCGATTGAAAAAAATTAAAAATTAATATACTTATAGTGTAATTATCTCATGATCTTTCTAAGTGTATTTGTGTAGATTCTATAAATTCGGTTGTCTCTATTAATTAAAGGAATACTTGCACTATAAGTATATAAATTTTTAACTTTTTCTCAATCGAGTACATAAATTTTAATTTTTTGTTTTAGTATATCAATTTTTTCAGAATTATCAATCAAGTATTTTTATCAATTTTTTCGTTAATCGATGCGTGTTTATTACCCTCTAAATACCAAATTATTATTTTATCATTTTTCTCAATTGAGTGCATGAACATTAATTTTTTTTCCGTTTGAGGATATCAACTTTTTCAAAAGTATTAGTCAAGTATTGTTCATCATTTTTTCGTTAATTTATGACATATTTGAATACAATATTATAATTTTACCTTTCTTTTGTTGAAATAAACTTTCTCCTCAAATTATTTTACTATTTAATAATTTGACAAATAATTTAAAAAATTATTTTTTATCTCTAAAATTCCAAACTAAACTTAATTGGGTTGTTATTTAAAAAAAAATCAATTAGGTTTAAGATTGAAAATTAAACAAAAAAACAAAAATGAATCTTCTCGATGAAAAATCTCACATTTGTGTTTCTTTCAATTTTCACATCCAAAACCTAATCGATTTTTTTTTTTAATAGCATGCTAAGCTAAGTTTAGTTCAAGATTTTATAACTAATTTTTTTTTAATTCTTTTTCATATTTTAAAATGATAGAATAATTTAAGGAGAAATTTCCTTAAAATAAAAGATGAAAAAAAATATAATTTAGCATTCGGACATGTCATCAATTAATGAAAAAGTTGAAGAAAATACTTGATTGATAGTTTTCAAGAATTTAGTGTACTCAATCTAAAAAAAAATTAAAGTTCATGTACTCCATTGAGAAAAATGATAAAAAAATAATTTGATATTTTGAGGATAATGGACACATCATCGATTAACGAAAAAATTGACGAAAGTGCTTGATTAACGATTTTGAAAAATTTAATGTATTCAAATGAAAAAAATTAAATTTTATATACTTAAATGAGAAAAAAATTAAAAGTTGGTATATTTATATTGTAATTATCCGTTAATTATGACGTATCCTCTATCCTCAAACTATCAAATTACAATTTTATCTTTTTCCCTCAATGGAGTATATGAACTTTAATTTTTTCAGATTGAGTACATCAATTTTTTCAAAATTATCATTCAAGTACTTTCGTCAATTTCTCTATTAATTGATGATGTGTCCAAATACCAACTTACATTTTTTTTTAATCTTTTGTTGTAAGAAACTTCCTCCTTAAATTATTCTATCATTTTAAAATTTGACAAAGAATTAAAAAAATTATTTTTGGTTATAAAATCTCAAACTAAAATTATTAAGGCTTGTTGTTTAAAAAAAAAAAAATCAATTAAGTTTTGGACATAAAAATTGAAGAAAACATAAACGTGAGATTTTTTATCGAGAAGATTCACTTGTATTTTTCTTCAATTTTCACTTTTAAAACTAATTGAGTTTTTTTTTTTTTTTTTTTTTAACAGCAAGCTACTTGAGTTTAGTTTGGAATTTTAGAGATAAAAAATAAATTTTTTAATGATTTGTAAAATTATAAAATAGTAAAATAATTTGAGGAGAAAGTTTCTTTCAACAAAAAGAGGGTAAAATTATAATTTTATATTCGAATATGTCATCAATTAATAAAGAAAGTGTTGGAAGTATTTGATTGACGAGTTTTGAAAAAATTGATGTATTTAAATAGAAAAAATTAAGGTCATATACTCGATTGAGAAAAAATAGTAAAATTATAATTTGGTATTTTGAGGGCACCAACACGTTATTAGTTAACACAAAAATTGACGAAATACTTGATTGGTAATTTTTTTTAAAAAATTGATGTATTCAAATAAAAAACAATTAAAATTCATGTACTCAATTGAAAAAAGATTAAAAATTAGTACAATTATAAAATTATTTTTTGTTATAAAATCTCAAACTAAACTTAGTAAGACTTGCTATTGAAAAAAAAATTGGTTAACTTTTGGATGTGAAAATTGAAGAAAACACAAACTTAAGATTTTTTATCGAGAAGATTCACTTGTGTTTTTCTTCAATTTTCATTTTTAAACCTAATTGAGGTGTTTTTTTTTTTTTTTTTTTTTAACGTCAAGCTACTTGAGTTTAGTTTAGAATTTTAGAGATAAAAAATAATTTTTTTAATTATTTTTCAAATTATAAAATAGTAAAATAATTTGAGGAGAAAATTTCTTTCAACGAAAAGAGGGTAAAATTATAATTTTATATTCGAATATGTCATTAATTAATAAAGAAAGTGACGGAAATACTTGATTGATAATTTTGGAAAAATTAATTTACTCAAAAAAAAAAAGATTCATGTACTCGATTGAGAAAAAATAGTAAAATTATAATTTTATATTTTGAGGGTACCAACACATCATCGGTTAAAGAAAAAAAAAACGAAGTACTTGATCGGTAATTTAAAAAAAAAACTGATATATTCAAATGAAAAAAAATTTAAAATTCATATACTCAATTGAAAAAAATTAAAAATTAGTATACTTATAGTGTAATTATCTCATGATCTTTCTAAGTGTACCTGTGTAGATTTTAAAAGTTTGGTTGTTTGTTAATTAAAGGAATAATTACACTATAAGTATATCAATTTTTAATTTTTTTTCTCAATTGAGTATATAAATTTTAATTGTTTTCATTTTAGTACATCAACTTTTTCAAAATCATTAATCAAGTACTTTTATCAATTTTTTGGTTAACTAATGACGTGTCTAGTACCCTCAAAATATCAAATTATAATTTTATCTTTTTTCTCAATCGAGTACATGGACTTTAATTTTGTTTTTCGTTTGACTACATCAATTTTTTCAAAACTATCAATTAAGTATTTTCATCACTTTTTTCGTTAATTGATGACATATTAGAATATAAAATTTTGTTTTTCGTTTGACTACATCAATTTTTTCAAAACTATCAATTAAGTATTTTCATCACTTTTTTCGTTAATTGATGACATATTAGAATATAAAATTATAATTTTATCATTTTTTTGTTGAAATAAACTTTTTCTTTAAATTATTTTACTATTCAATAATTTGAAAAATAATTAAGAAAATTATTTTTTATGTCTAAAATTTCAAACTAAATTTAATTAGTTGCTGTTAAAAAAAAATCGGTTAGGTTTAAGAGTGAAAATTAAAGAAAAACACAAATGAATTCTTTTAATGAAAAATCTCACATTTGTGTTTTCTTTTTCAATTTTCACGCCTAAAACCTAATTGATTTCTTTTTAATAGCATGCTAAGCTAAGTTTAGTTCGAAATTTTATAACTAAAAATAATTTTTTAATTCTTTATCATATTTTAAAATGATAAAATAATTTAAGCAGAAAATTCCTTACAACAAAAGATGAAAAAAATATAATTTGGTATTCGGACACGTCATTAATTAATGAAGAAATTAAAAAAAATACTTGATTGATAGTTTTAAAAAAATTGATGTACTCAGTCTAAAAAAATTAAAGTTCATGTAATCCATTAAGAAAAAATGATAAAATTATAATTTAGTATTTTGAGGATAATGAACACGTCATCGATTAACGAAAAAATTGATGAAAGTACTTGATTAACATTTTTGAAAAAATTAATTTATTTAAATAAAAAAATAAAAATTATATACTTGAATGAGAAAAAATTGAAAGTTTGTATATTTATATTGTAATTATCTGTTAATTAATCGTTGGGGGAGGAAGGGACACTTTATTAATTAATCCTGTCCCAATCGCCAAGAAGAGAACAAGATTTGGAACGACGCCGTATGAAAGAACCCGATTCTGACCAAACAAGCACTTGTTCTTTTCGTAAAAGACGTGGAAAAGCGACCGGCATACCAAACCCCAAATTTGAACGAAACGACACACCACATAGAACACCTAACAACCAAACACAAACACACCATCTTATTGTACCGTAGAACGCTCCACCAAACACCGAATTAACCTCTTTCCTTTCTTCTTATTATATACCTCCTCGCCAATCCATCATTCTGATAACAAGTCAACATTTCTTAAACCGCAGAAGAAAAGAAAAAAAAGAAAAAGAAAAAATGGAATCTGCAGGCAACGTCTTGGTAACTAACTCTTGTTTTCATTTCTGTTATAGCAGTGCGTTTGATTGGTTGACTTAAGTAGTAACTAATTTTGAATTTGCTTAATTACTAGTTGGCTTCATCACCTGCTGCCGTGGTGGAAATGGGGAGTGGAGGAGTAAGGAGGAATCCAACATTGATTTGTACACCAATTATGGCTGATTTTGTTGATAAGATGCTGATTCTTATGGGTGAAGCTAAAGCTATGGGGGCTGATTTGGTTGAAATTCGATTAGATAGTTTAAAGAATTTCAATCCTAATTCCGATATCAAAACCCTCATTCTTAACTCTCCTCTACCCACTCTTTTCACTTACAGGTACATCCTCCACCTCCCCCTTTTCTTTTTCTTTTTTTTTTTTCCTTTTTTCATTAATTACTCCTTTTTTTCCCCTTTAAAGGCCAATGTGGGAAGGTGGTCAGTATGATGGTGATGAAAAGCCGCGATTGGATGCCCTTCGATTAGCAATGGAACTCGGAGCTGATTATATTGATGTTGAGCTCAAGGTTGCTTTTTTTTTTTTTTGAATCTTGAAGCTAGATTTTGTTTCTTAATTATTAGTTGTTTGATTTTTTTTTTTCCTTTTTCTTGTTGTGAAGGCTGCTTATGAATTCAATAACTTGCTACATGGAAACAAGCCTGCGAAGTGCAAACTCATAGTTTCTTCTCACAACTATCAGCATACTCCAACTGTTGAGGAACTTGGTAACCTTGTGGCTAGAGTACAAGCTGCTGGTGCTGATATTGTCAAGATTGCGACCACTGCTTTGGATATCTCTGATGTTGCACGCATTTTCCAAATAACTGTTCATTCTCAAGTAAGAAGCGTACGTAATATGCTGTTGCTTGTAAGAGTTTTAAGGCTAATGTATATGATTTCTTCTCATTATGAATTAGAACGAGAAAGTATTGGTAATTAAGTTTCCTTGACTAGAAAGCAAGCTGGAGGCTGTATTCTTTTGTTAACAATACGTTTATCAGATAAACATTACGATGAAAGCGTTTGAGTTGGAGTAAGCATTTGCGTTGGAGTTTGGAATTTCCAACTAACTACATGCTTCCACTTCAAATTTTTTTTTTCATTCGCCTCCCATTTATTTCCTACTTTGAGCAAAGAAGCATTTGTAAAGTACGAGACCATGTTAGTTCCTGCCTGAATTTGGAGTCATTTGGAACGGAATGCTTAGTGGATGAAGCAAAAGTTTACTTAAAAGATCAGATATTACCACTTAATGGGATATGTTATGCTAAATATCAATTAGAAGTTTGAAAGAATGTTGCTCTTTAATATCTGTTCTTCTTTTTCTGCAATTTTCCATTTTTTATTTGTTGTGAAGGGTGACTCTAAAATTTTATGATTTTCTGGAACTTTTAACTAAATTTGCTTCGGTAACATGAGCTGGAATTATCAGGTTCCAATAATTGGACTTGTCATGGGTGAGAGGGGTTTGATTTCACGGATACTTTGTGCTAAATTTGGTGGTTATCTCACCTTTGGCACCCTCGATTCCGGAGTTGTTTCCGCTCCTGGTCAACCAACGATCAAGGATTTGTTAGATCTGTTCAATTTCAGACAAATTGGACCTGATACTAGAGTATTTGGAATTATTGGGAAGCCTGTTGGCCACAGCAAATCACCTGTGCTATACAATGAAGCATTCAAGTCAGTTGGTTTCAATGGTGTCTACGTACATTTATTAGTGGATAACCTTGCAAATTTTCTCCAGATTTACTCATCCACAGATTTTGCAGGATTCAGGTTCTATTTCTATTTGCATCACTAGTTGTCAAATCTAATGTTTTCATATTAATAATACCCTGCCCGCTTTGGTTTTATGAATAACCATTTTCTGTAATTTCATTTCATTTGTATAAGTACGGTCTTCTAATGGCTCTTTGCCTAAAGTGAAAAGGAACTTATGCTGTTTGTATAGTGCATTGTTATATATACTGTCACTTGTTTCAGATACCATTGATGATGCTAAGTGAATCTAATTCTGCAATATAGATCCTGTTGTGGTAGTTGTTGATGATTTGATGTTTAAAACACAGTTGTACAATTCCTCACAAGGAAGCTGCTGTGAAGTGCTGTGATGAGGTAGATCCAGTTGCAAAGGTAATGTGTTATCTCTCTTTGATTAACTTTGAAGATTATGATCTTCTTGGGGTTTTGAACGTTTTCCTTAGTACATAAATGATTTATCTAGTCTTGATCAACTCTCACAGTCAATAGGAGCTGTTAATTGCATTATAAGAAGACAAAATGATGGGAAGCTATTTGGCTACAATACAGATTATGTTGGTGCTATTTCTGCTATTGAGGAAGGACTACGAGGTATTTAGTGCTTGAGAAGCCAAGCATTTTTTTTCTTGATAGAATCTTCCTTTTAGACACTAAGATCTTTTGGTCCCATTCATTTTTCTTGCAGCCTCGCAAAATGTTAGCAATACAGTTAGCTCACCCTTAGCTGGGAGGTTGTTTGTAGTCATTGGTGCCGGCGGTGCTGGCAAGGCACTTGCTTATGGTGCAAAAGAAAAGGGGGCCAGGGTTGTCATTGCCAATCGCACCTATGGTGAGGTTCCAGTACATTCACATTGTGCAATATTTTTCACCTGCTCATGCCATTTCCTATTTCATGATATATTTATGCAGTAATGGACAGCTTTTTGGATTTTTATTTGGTTTTGGCATTTAGAATCAGTTTCTAAGTTGATGACAAATCTTTCATCCACATGCATCACTGTTCCACAATACTGTTCCATAATAGCCAACGAGGAATCCGTTATTATGTCTTGTGTGTGATGTAATAAGTGATTTAACACAAGATAACAGTAATTATAGTTTGGTCACTTTCAGCAGTTATTGGTAATACATGTGTTTCCAGAACAGGAAGCTTTTCTCAGAAGAGCAGAAAAGTGGAAACTGACAAAAACACTTGAGGATATATCACACTTACTTGTATTGGGAAAATTGAGACAGTAATGTACTTTTTTGATGTCCTTTTTTTAAGTAAGATTTGTGTTTCATGAATACTCTGTCGAGAAAATGTCATGGATTTTTTGAAGAAATTTATTCAATACAGTCTAAGGAGCATCTTTACCATTGCCTTTTTAAATTTCCGATTGATACTCCCTCTTTTCAAGGTGTCTTGCAATGGAGAAAATGTTTTCCCTTTAATTCTTTCTCCCTCAGTCCACTGTTTCTTTTCTGCAACCAAATCTCTTCACTGCTTTCCTTCTAAATACTCATCGTTGAAATTTGTGAAAACACAAGGTATTCATTTGTGAAGCATGACTTCGTTTTTCTTGATTCATCATATTTTATGCTCGTTGGTAAAAGAGAATCATATTATATGCTCCCCCTCCTCCAATACTCATGTGCATGTGAATTTTATACCAGATTTAATTCCACTGTACATTTGTGGTGGATTGGATTATTACTCCTTGTTCTGCTTGGGATAATGTGTTACCAACCCAAATCGTGTTTTTCCAGTTTATGTTGACTGAGGTTTTACTTTTTAATTTTTAATTTTATCTGTGTTTGCCTTCAAGAGCGAGCGAAAGAACTTGCAGATACAATTGGAGGAGAAGCTGTATCTCTTGCAGATCTGGAGAATTTCCATCCAGAGGATGGCATGATTCTTGCAAACACAACATCTATTGGAATGCAACCGAAAGTTGATGAAACACCTGTTTCTAAGGTTTCCCCACCATCATGCTGTTTTTTCCAATGTGAATCATTATGCTGCTCCTTAAGTGAAATATGTATCTATGTTATCTTTTGGATCATCAATCTAATTGTTTTGCCTGAATTTTCACTTCTGCATAGATTTATGATGTCTTAAGAACATAGGTATGAATATGTGATCATCCAACGAGTTAGACTTCTACTGAACTGAAAACGTTTTGTACCCCCCAAGAATTCCTATGATTGAGAATGTTGTTCATTCTTTGAAGGGAACATAAAGTTTTGGTATGTAAGTTGTGAGGGTATGATTATTGAGATCAAAGAAAGCTACGTATAGTTGTTTTCTCATGTAGTATGGCCTATACAAACCAATCATGAAAAATATGAAGGATTGTAAGTTTGAGCCATGACAATTTGAAGGTCTAGCAATGTCTTAGATTTGAAGCATGAAACCTATGAAATAGTACAGAGCACTGAGCTCAGGTAAACATGGACCAAAAGGGGGATTCTGTGCTAGAGCACTGAGCTCAGGTAAACATGGACCAAAAGGGGGATTCTGTGCTAGATACTTTTTTTCTGTGGACCTTTCGACACGGTATTTGGCATCTAGGAGTTTATTGAAGGTTTTCAGTGACTTCCTGTTTAAATAAAAGATTCTTTTATTACATATTGTTACTTTGTTAGCATCGTCAGAGGAAAGAGTCTTAAGAGGCTTGATGTGTTTGCAGAACGCTTTGAGATCTTACTCCTTGGTTTTTGATGCTGTTTACACCCCCAAAATAACCAGACTCTTGAAAGAAGCAGAAGAATCTGGAGCCACGATTGTCACTGGGTTAGAGATGTTCATTGGGCAGGCATACGAACAGTTTGAGAGGTTTACTGGATTACCTGGTAAGCTTAGTAGTTATAGCTTATATGATGATGGCATGCCCTGTTAACATCCTCAGTACTTTTTTGGTTCATTCAGATCTATTTATCTGTCATTTTCTCTCTGCAGCTCCCAAAGAACTCTTTCAGAAGATTATGTCAAAGTACTAATGGTGGTATAAGTCTAATATTTTACTTGCAGTTGGTTTCTTTTTCCACTGTGGCTCAATTTCAAGTCTTAAACCCGTTGTCTTTGGTTGATTTATCACGGTTAATTCCCACAACCTGTGACTGGTCTGTAACTCATTTTTCACTGATGAAATAGATAAGAATTTATATGATCTCTTGTGGAAACTGTTTGTATTGAAATGCTGAAACTTTATTTGGTCAAAACTGTGTCAGACCATACTTCTGACTCAGACATTTTGGACTCGTCGGAGTTTGATCCGTTCCAAACCCTTTTTGCACAGCTGCATGTAGGGATTCATCCTATCGGAAAAATTTTCGATACAGCTGGAGTTGTATTTCCCTTTCTCACAGATGTATTAAACCTTATTCTCTCTAAATTCATTCAATTAACTCGTGTTTTCAGTGGCAAAGCCAGGATTTGAAATTAAGAGGGACAAAATATAATAGTCTTATGCATTAAAAAAAAACAAAAAACAAAAAAACAAAACTAATGCAATACATACTAACATAAATGAAGTTGCTAAATAGTTAAATATTTCAAACAAAAAGTATTCATAAATATTCTTTAATAAAAAGAAAAAAATTATAATTATTCTTTACGATTCTTCATGCTTTGGTAGCGATGCATGATAACTTCATTATCAATATACATTCTTTACAAATTTCATAGCAGAAAATGCTCTTTCAACCGTGACGGTTGCAATTGGTAGAACAAAGGCTAAAGTGATGAGTTTATAAACTAATGAATATAAAATATCCTTTCTTGCCTATAACATTTTTTCAGCAAGATCACCAATTCCTTTCATGTTAGAAAATTCACAACTAAACTTCATATCAATGATGTATGTTTTCAACTCGATTTTTAAGAGCAATGAGTTGGTTAATAAAGAAATCAACAAGATAAAACCGAGCAACACGAAGCAACTTATCTTTATCATAAGCAAAAAATGAATTAGCCAAGCTCACGCATGCAAAACATAAAAGCGACTCTCTGTTTACCAAAACAAATCGATTATTAAGCTCTTGAAGTTGCAAATCTATAACCATACAATATAACTCAACTTGTAATGATGCATGTTTGTCCCTTTCTCGGTATTACATCGAGACCATCCCTTAGCAATATGTATATCTTTCATATTAAGGACTCGTATATTGTGACTAGTACAAAATAAAGATACCTCATCCAATAATGAATTTCATCCATTAGCTTGCATTAATTGCAAGTGTTGCCTAGCTATCTTAACCAAGGTCATAACATTCACAATATCTTAATCTTTTTTTACAATGCTTGTGATAATTCATGAGTAATGCCTAATATGCGTTTTATCTAATGAAGACAAAATGAAATATCAAAAGATTGCAATGAATCCAATAAATTGCAAGCTTCAACTTTTTGGTCGGACTTTTCATTTTCCATAACAAATTCAAGGACATCAACTATAGAAGAAAACATCTTAATCAAAATAGTGTAATGTGAAACCCATCTTGTCTCTACATTCCGTTTAAGAATAGACTCTTGATTTTTTAGCTTCAACTTTTTGGTAAGATTTTCCATTTTCCATAATAAATTCAAGGACATCAACTATAGAAGAAAACATCTTAATCAAGCTAATCGAAGTAGTGTAATGTGAACCCCGTCGTGTTTCTACATTCCGTTTAAGAGTAGACTTTTGATTTTTTAGCTTCAACTTTTTGGTCGGACTTTCCATTTTCCATAACAAATTCAAGGACATCAACTATAGAAGAAAACATATTAATCAAGCTAATCGAAGTAGTGTAATGTGAACCCCGTCGTGTTTCTACGATCCGTTTAAGAGTAGACTTTTGATTTTTTAGCTTCAACTTTTTGGTTAGAATTTTCATTTTCCATAACAAATTCAAGAACATCAACTATAGAAGAAAATATCTTAAGCAAGCTAATCGAAGTAGTGTAATGTGAACTCCATCGAGTCTTTCCAGTCCATTTAAGAGTAGACTCTTGATTTTTTCCTTGCCCACTTTCAAGTTTACCATTTTCAATTGCCTTTAAAATTTTAATAGTTTGAAACTCTAAAAGCATATCATGGCACTTACAAGATCCCTCAACAAAATTTACAACACTTGAAACGAAACTAAAGAGCAAAGCAATGGATATGTGATTTTTTGCAACGACTACAAGTGCTAATCGAAGTTGATGTGTAAAACAATGAACATTAAAAGCATTTCCATTCTTCTTTAAGATTAAAGATTTAAGACCATTAAACTCACCTTGCATATTGCTTGCTCCATCATAGCCTTGACCACATAGTCTTGACATGCTTAACTTGTGCTTGGCAAATATTGCTATAATTACGTCTTTTAGCGACAAAGCACTAGTGTTTTCAATATGCACAATACCTAAAAGACGTTCAACCACTTTGCCTTCCTTGTTCACATAGCATATAACAATTGTCATTTGTTCTTTAGTTGACACATCATGAGCTTCATCCACTAGAATAGATAATAAAGCATTCCCAAGGTCTAGAATGATGGAATTAGTGGTTTCAATTGCACAAGCACTCATAATATCTTTTTAAATATTTGAAAATGTCAATTTAAGATTTCCATTACACTTATCTATTGTAACTCTTTTGATATCCTCATTATGATCATAAAGAAGTTTTAAAGTTACTTTGAAATTTTCTTAATTAGTCGAATCAATTGATTCGTCATGACCATGAAAAGCTGAACATTATATTAAAAAAAATCAAACACAATCAATTGAAGCATTTAAACGAACCTAATAGTCACTTCGAGCTTGTCTTGATTGCTTATTGACAATTGTTTGTAGATGTTGTTGATTCATCAAAGCTTGGCAATTATAGGAAGCTAGATTATGTGTGCTATTATGACCTCCAACTTATGCTTGTAACTTTTCTTTTTTCTTCCAATTGCTAAAACCTTCTACAACAAAGGCATCACCACTACCCCCGTGCTCTTGACTATCTAATTTGAAAAGGTAACAACGTAAGCAATGTATCACTTCCATCACCTTACTATATTCTAACCATATGTGATGTTCATCAAACCAAGATGGATTAAATCTTCTTAACACATTTCCTTGTAGAGTTTGTTTAAAATTATGTTCACGAGGTTGACAAGGTTCTTTTCGTAGATATGCTCTTCAAACTTCATCCCTTATGTTAGGATGATAATCCATAATTGGTTTTCACGAGTGTAGGATCTAATGGAAGATTTGCTAAATCAACTTCATAAGAAATTTTTTTCAATTTATGGCATTCTTCATCATGACTTTCTTGGTTTTGAATAGGAGACAATGATTCAAACATAGTTTTTCTCTTAAAGTACCTTTCCATAATCGAAAAAAGAAAAAGAAAAAAAGAGAGAGAATCAATAATGGTTATCAAATATATATTATATTTGTTAATTCCACCTAATAGTAACACTATAGGTTATACTATCCCCTTAAAAAAAATATGGGTTCTATAATTCTATTCAATTAAGTCAATCATTAAATAAAATTATTTTAGCACAATTTACGTTGTAACTAATTTTATAATACGCAATCTATAAATTAATCTTAATATATGCTTTTGATAAATCATAGATGCAACACTTACCCAATATAATAATAAGAATAGTAAAGAAGAAACATTTCATAAGAAAAAAAAATAAAGAAGAAACATAAAGGCTAGGCACTCATAGTGGCACGAGAGGATAAAAATAAACACAATACTTAATGTTTTTTCTTTACTTAATACAAGAGGGAAAAAACAATGCTTAATAATTAGGCAGGTATAAACGAAGTCAAGTAATTGTAGCAATTTACTATGGATTTTGAATCAATTTATTTTAATTAAAAGAAGGACAATTTGCGAGATGAGAAAAAAAAAAAAAGAGGACAACAATAAAAATAAGAAAAACAAATTAAATATAAAGGTATTACAAGAATTGAAGAAGATAAACAACATCAAAATCACTTACAAGAGAAGAAGTGAGATGAGAGCTAAAGAGATTTAGGTAATTAGGTTTGAGAAATTTTGAGGTCTAAGCATTTGGCTAGTTAATTGGTTATAGCTACATTAGTTTTTTTTTATTATTATTATTAGAACTCAACCCGATATCTATGTGATACCGACACACGAATTGAGTTTAATTAAAGTTTTCTTTTTCTTCTTCTTTTTTTTTTTTCTCGGGGTACAAAAGTAGTATTTTTTTTTCTTAAAAAAAGGGGATCAATTGCGGTTGTGTGTTTTCTAAATATCCAACTTGTATGGAGTCTCAATGTTAACTATGCATATTAATTATGTGATGTAATTAAGTACTTTCCATTTATGAGATGATTTTTTATATTACCAAATAAATTGTATTAAAAGTGATTTTTAATAATGATAAAAAAATCATTTTAAGATTGTAAACCATAATTTTATTATTTTTCTTTTATCAGTTTGGCCGAATTTTTATCAATTTCATTAAAAAGATTGAACCATTCACACTTTGAGAAAGTAACATTTTTTTATTTTCAGTTTATCAAGATTTTTTTTTAAAAAAAATTATTGAGTAAACATAACTCACATTTTATAAAGGAAAAGATAGCCACACTTGAGATGCTGGATATCCTTATGGTTTGTCAACGTGTGATTGTTGTCGAGAATGTTATGGATTGGTTGTTGGACGAAAGAGGTGTTTGTTTATAATTTGACCATATCCATTGCTGGGATCATGGACTTTCAAATGTGTGTGTCGGAATATATTAACAAAAAAGACATCATTTTATTGCCTTAAAATAAAACAAAATATTAACAAAAATTGATAAAAGGACACAATTAAGAAATATGAGAGATGTTTAGAGCCTAATTGATACAAAATAATAGGTTTGGAATGTAATTAAGAATATATATAGATTAGGGACTAAGTTAAGGTCTCAGAAAAAAAAATTAAATCTACAAACGCAAGGGAAAAATGCGTTGGCCGTTACAGATGCCGCATGTGAACTGTGATTTTGGTTTCGTTCTGGAACAACAGAAAAAGAAAAGCTAAGCCTGAGAAACATCACGTCTTTAAAATCCAGATTTCTTTTGCAATCTCAAAAGAAGAAATGATATGCGTTCTATCTTATTCCAGATCACCTCCAAGATCGCTTCCCTGTCAAGATCAGGGTACATTACACATGCCCGCAAACTGTTCGATGAAATGCCAAAGAGAGATACAGTTGCTTGGAATTCAATGCTTACTGGTTATTCTCGATTGGGTCTTCACCAAGAAACCTTCTCTCTCTTCCGCCAAATGAGAACCAGCAACATCAAGCCTGATCACTTCACATTCACTGCAACTTTAAATGCATGTGCAGCTTCGAGTTCGCTAAGAAATGGAACTAAAATTCACGCTTTAGTTATTGTTTTGGGGTATCAATCTTCTCTTCCGGTTAATAACTCGCTTATTGACATGTATGGGAAGTGTTTGAGTCCGTTCAGTGCCAATAAAATTTTTCAAGAAACTAATGATTCTAATGAAGTTACTTGGGGTTCGCTTTTGTTTGCCTATACGAACTCTGGTCAGTTTGATGCCGCAACTTCTGTGTTTGAAATGATGCCTAAAAAGGTTGATGTTGCTTGGAATATAATGATTTCTGGTCTTGGTCAGTATGGCAAAATTGAGTTATGTTTGGATATGTTCAAAGAGATGAGAGAGAGTTTCTGTGAGCCTGACCAATGGACTTATAGTGCCCTCATAAGTGCTTGCACTGAGTCATTACAATTGGAATATGGATTTATGATGCATGCTGTTGTTATTAAGGTTGGTTGGAGCTCAGCAGCGGAGGCAAAGAATTCAATTCTAAGCTTTTATGCTAAACTTGGTTCCGTGAATGATGCTATGAGGGTGTTTGAATCCTTGGGAACACTGACGCAGGTGTCTTGGAATGCCATTATTGATGCTTTTATGAAAGCAGGAGATACCAGTGAAGCATTTCTCACATTTCAGCGCATGCCTGATAAGAATGTTGTCTCGTGGACATCTATGATTACAGGGTATGCAAGAAACGGGTATGGAGAAGAAGCACTTAGCTTTTTTGTTGGAATGATGAGGAACTGCTTGCTTCCTGATGATTTTACATTTGGAGCTGTCCTTCAAGCATGCTCAAGTTTGGCATTACTAGGGCATGGGAGAATGGTTCATGGATGTGTAATTCACCATGGTTTCCATGCCCGTGTGTATATTGGCAATGGTTTAGTTAACATGTATGCTAAGTGTGGAGATTTAGATGGGTCTAACCTCGCATTCAATGATATTTATGAGAAAGATTTGGTCTCTTTCAATGCCATGTTGTTTGCATATGGGTTGCATGGAAAGGCCATTCAAGCTCTACGGCTGTATGAAGATATGGTAGCATCTGGGACAAAGCCAGATAAAGTGACTTTCATTGGCCTGTTTCTGACTTGTAGCCACTCGGGGCTAATAGATAAAGGTCGTGAGTTTTTTGAATCAATGAGGTTAGTTCATGGACTGTCCTTGGACATGGATCACGTGGCATGCATGGTGGATATGCTTGGCCGAGGTGGCTATGTAGCCGAAGCAAAAGAGTTGGCTATTAAGCATTCAAAAACAGGTGATGTTAAGACCAGCTATTGTGAAGCTCTGCTGGGAGCATCTTCTGCACATAGTGAAGTCGAAATTGGGAAAGATGTGGGGAAAGCTTTGAAGGATTTAGAACCTCATAAAGAGATAAGTTATGTGTTGCAGTCGAATTTGTATTGCACTAGTGGGCGATGGAAGGAAGCAGAGATGGTTAGAAAGGCAATGGTAGATGAGGGGTTGAAGAAAATGCCTGGTTGTAGTTGGATTGAAGTGAGAAATAAGGTAGCAGCATTTGTAGCAGGACATTCACAACCATGTATGGAAGAGTTGTATACATTATTACATTTCCTTGAATTAGAAATGAGACATCCATGTTTTATTGGTTTCGAAAATTGAAGAAATTCTCATGTTAACCTTTAGTAATTTCATGGATGAACCAAGCCTCTATTTACGCATTGAACGCTAGTGGTCTTTTTAGTTATCAAAGTGACCAAATAGCTGCCTTTTTGATAACTAACCAGACAACCGAAGTTTACTTCTCACTGCTCCTCATTTGCTGCTGGGGGATCTGTTTTTTGCATGGTCAATGGTGTTTTTTTGTCTATTGGACATCGGCTCTCTGGAACACGTCTTCGGGTTCCAACTTTTCCATTGTTTTCGATCATCAAACTCTCAATGCAGCTATGAAAACTTTGGTTGGATAGGTCAATCAAGGGGATCATAACTAGCATCATAGCATGAATAGAAATTTGTATTATATGCTGTGAGCAGCCTGATCAAACTCTTTGTATGAACAGTTCAGTGTCACCAGTGTATTGTTTTACTAATTAAAATTAGCAACTTCAGATATTTTCTTGGCTAGTTCTTTTATTCCATTTTGAAATTATACTGGATGTTTTACAGAATCCCCTTGTCTCAACAGGAAGGATCATCATTTTCCTCTGGGGGAAAAAAAAAAAAAAAAAATCAGCTTTGAACATGCTCCAGATTGGAAAAAAAAATGTTGGGCAGAAAAAAATTTCGGAAAATTACAGCATCAGTTTTTTCTTACTCAACACCTCACGTTCTTGAAATTATCCTTACAATCCCTTCTGTTAGTTGGCTTTCAAACAGAACTGAAGTTTCGTTAGCTCCTGTTTAATTATGAGCACAATTAAATTCTAAAAAAAAATATCAAAATTAAACCTCTCCTTTTGGTATACTTGTAAGATTTACAAGTTTTTCGTTTTTCTCTCATCTAACTTAGACAAGGCTAGGAAGGATAAGTTTGCATATGCGAATAGGTTCCTCCAACGTTAGACTGAAAGAAAGATGGACAAGATTTGCACTTTTGTCTCGTCAAATTTGATCTATTTATTTAAAATTAACGATGAGATTAGGATTGACGTATTCTTTTATGTCTTTCCGTTTTGGGTAACAAGTCGAGGGCAAGTATCACAGCTTCTTCTGTCTATAATGTATGTTGTCATATTCGTTAATTATGTGTTGAGGTAGAAAATTATTAACAAACAAAATTTTGCGAAAACGTTTTTCCTATTTTCTGTCTTTCCAAATCCCGTCTAACCCGATATACAAAAGAGTCCGTTAAAAATTCAGTTACAAAACGAATCCATAAAATTAGGCATGGAGTTAAGGAAATGCGTCATCCAAATCTAACCTTAAAGTATGGTTTGGTTATTTGAAATAAATAATAAAAATAAAAATTTTATAGGTGTTTAGTTGAAAAAATAAAATAAGAATGAGATAGAAAAGTGAGAATGAAAATAAAAATAAAATATAATTTTATTTTCACATGAGAAGTGAGAATAAAAAAAATAAGAATGAATTTTTTTATTTAAAATAATGATATATTATTTTTAGTTATTGTCTATCAACAACTTCCACAACTAATAAAAATATTATTATTATTCCTAATCATTCCTCAACTACCATCATTACTTTTATTATCTCATTATCATCATCACAATAGTGATAAAAAAAAAAAAAACTATTATTTGATCATTGCTCTTTCGTATCATTACGGTTACTTTTATTGTATCAACACAATCACTATTCTCTAAATTAATCTCTAAAAAAATTAATATCATTACCGTCACTTTTATTGTATCATCACAGCCACTTTTATTATATCACTTTTACTACTACCTCTAAAATAATGATATTAATTTTTTAAAAAAATATATTATTGTTATTACTATATTATTATTAATGGCATCTTCTCCTCATAATCATCTTACTTCACTACCACCACCACCACTATCTTTTATTATTTTTATTATCTTCATAGTTGATAAAATTATTTTTAAAATACTATTCTTATTCGTACAAAAACTAAATATTAAAAAATTTAAATTTTATTTTGATTTCTTATTATTATTATATCAAACATAGTACATTAAAACTAAATATTAAAAAAATTAAATTTTATTTTAATTTTTTATTATTATATTAAACACAGTGTATGCATGTAAATGTTATTTTAATTTTTTAATTCTTTTGTTCGCATTTCAACCCTCTCATTCTTAATAATTAAATGAAATCTAAGGAGTTGTGTTTTGTACGGCAACAACAATATCGAACTCTCATTATCGTTGCATAAACCTTTGGTTACGGTAATTGCATTTTTGGTCCAGATTTTTTCTAATTTCATTTGGGTCCTTTAACTCTAATTATTCTATTTAAATATCTAAAACACGTTAATATTTTAACCAAATGTAATGCTTTACTAATATTCTTTCGAGGGATATCTAAATCACTACAACTACTAAAAAAAACATGCGTACATGTCTACAATACAAGGAATAAAAGGATATATATGATTGATTATTCATAGGAAAGCAAATTTCACACTACTTACCCGCACTTGATATCATTCAGTCTCATTGAGTTGAGTTTTTATCTGATTTGATTATAATCAAATGAGTGCAAATAAAATTCAATATAATTTGTAATTAGATTGGTTAAAAAGTTGACTCGATTAAATCCAGATTATCCGTAGATTAAGATGTGAATCTTATTGCAATAAAAGATTTTTTTTTTAAGTGCCTCCACCAACACATGTGATATAATTTGGTTTTAATGTTATATATATTGTTTTGACTGAGAGAAAATGTAGAGAAATCACAAGTAGTTTGTGAGATTTTAACTCATAACCTCTCCCCTCTCCTACTTACTATATTCATGTTAATATTATTATTTTTTTAAAATATCAAAATCGATCCTTTAGATTGACCCAACATGTTGAGTTACAATCCGGTTGCCGGGTCTAACAACTATACTAAGGATGCCATAATTATTAAACCAACAAAATAAAAATAAAAAGGTTATAAATCCAAAATTTACTATGAAATTTCTATCAGAACCAATGCAAGCCTCCACATCTCCATAAAAAAAAAGTAAAAAAAGAGATTTTTCCAAATTCATTCTCTTTGATGAGAAATGATTTTCTTCTTCCTCGTATTTTAGAACAACATGAATCTTTTATAATATATGTAACATGTTTATCTGATGGCTTGATAAAACTATTTATGGCATACATAGTTAGTGAATTGAAAAGCAAGATTATTAATGCTCATTGATGATCATAAAGAGAGACAGAATCAAGGTGATGAGACCGTCCTTCACTGGAATAACACAAAAGAAGTATTGGAAAACTTGAACAATAAAATTACTCTGAGATGTGGTCTGGAAGTAAGGGAAGAAGTAAGAAAATTGTCTTGATTTAACTAAAATTAAAATTTAATTCTTATTATCCATAAAAAAATAATCATAATTATTCTTTAGTGGTATTAAACTTAGGCTTATTTGGTATAAAAGAGATTCTAACGATCAACCAAAAAATAAACATGTTCTATCGTTGGCTTAGGTCATAAAATAATGGACTTAATCTCGATTAATGCAAAAGCCGACTCGAACATACGTCACTATTTTGAAAAAAATTGTTATCCCATTTAAAACTAATTAATCAAAGTGAGTGTCATTAGTAATTGTATTAACCACAATTGAACTTGAATCACGTTTGTATTGTAAACATATGAAAGACATTTTTACTTTTGATATATATATATATATATATATATATATATATATATATATATATATATATATATATATATATAAAGGGAAAAGAAAGGGAAATTCTATTGGCATAGTAGTCCTTGCAATTCTCACAATCATTCGAAGCAAAATGACAAGAATTATTGAGTGAAAAAAAAAGAAGCATTCAATGTCGAGTGACATATGGTTGACACTATCTTCAACCATCATGGGTGCCTTACGGATGGAGGTTGCAAATTTTCAGAATGGATAACATCAACACGTATATATTAGTATAGGAGCCCAAGATTCAACCTTTTTTTGAATGGTTTAATGTATTATAATATTATACTTTTATATTAATAAAAAAAGTCTTTCTATTAATTCTTGTTATTTATAATTTGATAAAATTAGATAGAAGTTTATATGATATTCATTGCATTAATGATTGATAGAAAAATGTGAGACAAACTTCAATGCATTTAAATGATATCATTAAATGTTTCAAGTTGTAGCATTATCAAGAATGTACATTGACTATATACGGTAAGACTTATGAGTGTTCTACTCATACTATAAGATAACGAGTGAGAGATCTCACACGTATTTGTATGGTGATGTCAAAGCAAGTATTTAGGTGATTAATGTTAGAGAACATATCACTTGGACGTGACTCACTTTGAGAACCCATTTGGTTTAGTCTATGGGAATCTCATACGAGATGGACACACTCGGTCATTTGACTTGAAGTCATCATGATTATCTCATTAAAGGGTTGGTGTACTTTAACATCCATTTTGATGGGCTCAGTAAAGAGCTACATGTAGGTGATTTGTTAGGTGCACTAGGAATCTAATGAAGATAGATGGATGACCGAGATATGACATGTTATTCCTTATATGCTAAAGGAGTTATCATATTGTACTTCGATGAATGTCTATTCAAGAAATCTGTGACCATAGTGGGAGTATACCAATAGAGCATAATTGGTTTACTCTAGAGCTAAAATATTTGGGAATCAAAGAAAACTTATGTGATCATAATCGAGCGGACTATAAACCATGTTCGAGATCACACTCGTGATAAATTCATATGAGGACTAAATTGTATGATAACCATGCTCATGAAAAGTGATTATGGATTAATTAATCCTCCTGAAGAATTAGATAGTCATGATGTCTTCCTAGAGGTCAATCTTCTTTTGTATATCAAGAGATAAAATAGATATCTTTTATTCTTAATATATTGTTAGCATATCTAGGAGTCTACTCGAGTCACATGTATAAGTTTAAACATTCATATGATAAAAGAGAAGTAAAGATTTAGGAAAAATTTTCTAGTTTTGAAAGTTTTCTATTTTG